AGATATTGAAATAGTTCTGATTTTAAAAAAAAAAAAAACAACAACAAAACAGGGGAGAGACTTTTGTTTAACACTGATGTTTAAATTTCACAAGTTTGCTGAGTCATGTCGCATACGTTGCTGCTCTTGTTTCACCATCCTACAAGCTCAATATTGGCTCAAGCAGCTGCTGCTCTACTGGGGAACTGCCACTCATCTACTTTCAGCACTTAAGTACAGTTGATTGTGGTTCAATCCGTGTTCAAGCAACACAGAGATTCTCCTTAGCCTCCCTCGGTGCCACTAACCCTCACTGGGTTAATCCCCCATCCTGTCCATCTTGCTACTTTACATAACAGGCCTGGTTAGAGGCGTCTATCGCTTCTTTGGGCTGCAGAGAATGAGCTTAGATTTAAATATGCGAGCGGCCGTGAAATGCGGGCAGCTTAGTTTTTAACTTACCAAATCTTGGCTGATGTGTGTTTGGAAGTTTAAAAATAAGTTCTCAATCCAGAAAAGAGAGGTTTTGTATTCCAGGAACGATACCTGAAGTGCCGCCTCCTTGTAAAACTGGCTCTGATGTCGCTGGCTTTCAGTGATAACACACGAGTGCATTACTGTCTTGGTAACCTGTTGAGCTGCTCACGGTTTGAACGCTCAGAGCTGCTGAAGAATCACTGTTTTGCTCTAATAAGCTGTGATCTTTAGCAGTGTCCTGCATTGTGATATTGCACGTTAATAGCATTGATTAACTGTCGGATGCGGGGAATTGATGAGAAAATATCCATTGTAAAATTAAATGGTATTACTGAAGCCTGTTTTGTGCTGCTGGTTAGGGAGGTGACTAGACCCAGTAGGCTGTGCTAGGAGTATTAATGTGAGCTCCAGGTTTTTTCGCATGATTAAAACAGGCCATCTGTTCTTTGTTAAATGTTTACAAAAACAGCTTTTCTCTAAAAGATTTAAAGAGATGTGGGGCTAGTAAACACACCAATATTTTTGAGCACCTTTTTCACCTTATTTCAAATAATATAAAAATAATACCGCTGCAATATCAAATAGGATTAATACCTATTTGTATTTAATCTTCACTGATTTCTCTCATGTGGAAGATTAAATTCTGTACCAACATGCTAAATTATGGCTTTGTTATGGTTAAAGGCCATAAGGAGGAGAAGTGATTTCTGTCAAATACACAAATAGATTTTTCAGTCTTTTGGTAAAAATTCACAATATGCATCTTTTCCTCATTTGTAAATGAAAAATGGTGTTCTTTTATCAGAAATTACGACCCTGTAACTAGAATTAATCCTTTGTGGATCTAAAGAAGAACTATTTGAAATAATTCCCTGTGGTAGGCTTAAACTAATATTTACTAGTGAAAGCCTGTTCTTCTTCCCTTTCTCCCCTTCTAAGAAAGAGCAGACAACTGGTTTGGGGTATGAAAATGCATCTCCTGAGCTGCTTCCCCTCTCCTCTGCTCACCAGACTTGTGCTGCTCCTACACGGCTTCACACTAGGGAGCAATGTGGGGTTGTCAGTAAGGGATGTGCTGTTTTAGAATATTGCTTAAGTGCAAGCTCAGAGTTCCTAGAAAAGAGAAGTTATTGCACCCATTTCTTTGAAAGAGTGCTGGGCTTAGATGATGACATGTAAGTGAATTACAAAACGTGCCAAACCTGTGGAGATAATGGCATGTAGCAGAACCACTGTATTTTCAAGTAAAAGGAAATACAACCAAATCATAATTAGAGTAGGGGTGGCTGTCTGTAGCTTAATGTCTGGGGGGCGTGAGTGATATAAACCGAAATCATAACGATTTGATTTGTATACTTATACACCTACCTTGGCATGGAAAATAAAAGCTTGTAAGCACTGTGTATTTGTTTCACATGTAAAGTTTGCACTTAATGTAGTTTTATGAGTCTAAGAATGTGGATAAACTTTTTGAGGTAGGAAGAATATGAGTTTTCATGGGGTGGCACCTTACAGAATTGCACTGAACACAGTTACAGGGAGTATTGAGTACTACAGCATGGAAACAGTTGCTGCCATGTAACCTTATGGCCAGACCTTGTCACGGAACTGCAGATGTCAGATCACAAAGGGCTGTCATTGCTGTTGTGGAACCTTGGAAAGCTCTCTACTTTATGCTCAAATTTGGTTGTGGCCGTGGTGGAATTTGTTCAAACCACGACTAGAAAAAGAGACGACTTTTTTGAGTTACATTAAAACGGTAACAAGAATTCTCAAACATATATAAAACTTCATCCTGTTTTCAGTGACACAGCCTATTACTAACATAGGTGAAATCTTGAAAGTTTTACAGAACTAAATTTAATCCAGCACTGCTGGATTTCTTGCAGTTTTTAGTATTTGTTGGCTTGGCTGCTTTGCATGCTTCAAAAGAGGAAGAAAAAAGTTGAAACAGTTGATTGATTTTATTCTAGAAAGTGTATCACACAGAAGCTTATAGATGGCAAACCAGTAGTGTATTACCAAGCATAAAGCACTTGTTAAATATGAATTTTTACAAATAATGGAAAACTTAACATTTCTTTTTATGTTAGGCATAGCAAGTGGGCAGTATTTTAAAAAAAGAAAAAAGGTCTGAGATTTGTAGTAAACAGCTCAGTGAAGGCATTGGTGAAACCTGGACTCAAAGTGTCTGAAAATCAAATGCAGGATGCGTAAGATATGAAATGACAGAAAATATAGTCATGTATGCATTGAGAAATTTAGAAGTACTGCTCTGAAAGCCTGTTGATTAAATATATATATATATTATTGGTGATCTGTGTGATATTCTTGTCCTTTTCAACACCAAAAAATAAATATTAAGCAGTACAAGCACGTAACGGTATGAGGTACTGAGAAGACAGTTTTGTTCTATGTCACATAAGGAACAAATCTGAGGAGACATTCAACTCAATTCATTAAATGGACCATTAAAAACAGTCCAAAGTCTGTGTATGTGTAATGCATAATTGGATTGTAGAACTCATTGGAATCATTGATATCCAATTTTATGAACTCTCCAGCATGAAGTTACCCGGGTACTACTGTGACCACAGCTTTCTAGAAGAGGTGATTTAGGAAGCCTGATGTGAGATTCCCTTGAGGTGGAGCTGATAGATGTGGTAGTAATTAAATGGGGGCATCAGATTGGCAGTGTAGCTGAGTTTCCACTGTGACTAAGGCCCTGTTGAGCTTAATAGTATCTTAATAATCAACAGGAGGATGGAAACCTGCAAAAATTTAGGTTAAGACAAGTAGACCCATACCTTTGGTCAGCTGCTTGAGTTTTCCCTCTGTTATGGAGTCTCCTCCAAAGCAAATCAGAGTGTCTAGTTCATACCAGTCCAAACTCTTTCAACAATCCAATTATGCATTACACATACACAGACTTTGGACTGTTTTTAATGGTCCATTTAATGAATTGAGTTGAATGTCTCCTCAGATTTGTTCCTTATGTGACATAGAACAAAACTGTCTTCTCAGTACCTCATACCGTTATGTGCTTGTACTGCTTAATATTTATTTTTTGGTGTTGAAAAGACAGCAGAAGAGGTATGTGCCCTCCCTCCCTTGCTAGGTCTGCTCCTTCTGCTGCTTGGGTAGTTTCTGAATATGCAGGTATACTCAGGGCATAATGGGTTGTTTGTTTTTTCTTTTTTGCTACCAGGAAGAAATGCTGAAAATAGTTTACAGTCTAGAAAAAATACATATGCATTTGCTTTCTCGTGGAATGATTAAGAATTTTATTTTCTTAAATCTTAGACAGGATTTCTAATTATTTGTTGCGTACTTGCTGTTCTCAAGTACTATTTGGAAGAAAAGAGAAAATGTGACAAATAACCTTACAAACAGACTGTCCTATTCCTAGAAGTAACGTTCTTATTTGCTATAGACCTTTCTTTTTCAAGCTTTGTGACCATGGCTAAGGGGAAACTCTTACACATAGAGTTATGCTGACTTAATTTCTAGGGAAAAGTAGGAGAAACAGAGACAAAGAGGATGAGAAGATGGTCTGATCCTTTATGCAGCTTTAAGAAAAGCATCAGTTCATTGTCATGCTATTACTTTATTTTCTTGAAAATCACCATGGTCATGAATGTATAGCAGCAGGCAGGCAGTGAGAAGCAGGTCAGCACTTGAATATGCTGCAAAGTCAGAATAGAGCTCAGACGCTTTTTCTTTGCAGACTCATGGATATTTGGGTAGAATAGAACTATTAAAGAGAGAACTTCAAGTATATCCAATATGCTTAGTCTAGGCACTCTGCATCTGTATAATTATGCAGAGGTTTTCCTATACTGTATGAAAGTCTGACATAAGCCTGATACACTACATAGACTTTGAAAAAGGATGCTTTTGCAGTTTCACAATTACTTAATATAATACTTTGTCCAATGTGTAGCAGGTTTCAATTACAAGTAGGGAGCTGTGGTTCTTTGACATAAAATGTAACTATATTAAATTCGAAGTGACTTAAACCTTTGTGCGCTGATCAAAATACTTACTGTCACAGCATGAACCAAGGTAAATTAATGTTGTATAAATACAGCCTGTGAATGCCTTTATTTTCTTGTTGCACATCTAGAATAAGACTTCAACTTTTTTTTTTTTTTTTTTCCCCTGGAGGACAAGATCTCAGTGCAACAGAATCACTTGCAACTACTCTGAATACAGAAATGTCTGAAATAACAATTACTGTCCTTTTGCATCTAAGAGTTGAAGGGTCTAAATGTTTTCTGTAATTCCACTTTGTATACAAGCTTGATTACAGAATAATTTTACCTTTGCTGCATCAAGAATTTCTGGTCACTTTGCCACCATTTTAACTGCAGAAAGCTTTGTTGTTGTTGTTTTACTGATTTGCTGTGCAGTATTTGAGATGTGCTAGTAATGTAATCTCCTGCTTAGTATTTTCTCCCACTGTTCCCTCTTGCTCCAAAAGAGCAAAGTTTTAGAAATGGAAGTTGCAAATCTACAATTTTATTTCTGTTTGTCTCTCTCAGCATTCTCCATCGGAACCTTTTTTAGAGAAACCAGTGCCGGATATGACTCAGGTTAGTGGACCGAATGCCCAGCTAGTGAAAAGTGATGATTTTCTGCCATCAGTTGAACCGCAGCCACAGCAAAAGAAAAAGAAAAAGAAAAACAATCACATTGCTGCAGAAGGTCCCAGTAAAAGTTTTGGTAAGGAAGACTTTCCTGGGGGACTTGACAGCCAGAATCTAAGCAGGAACTCAGTGGATTGCTCCCAAGAAGATAAAAAGAAAAAGAAAAAGCCCAAGGCAAAAAAAGAACCGAAGGATCCTAAAGAGCCCAAGGAAAAGAAGGAACCCAAGACCCCCAAAGTCCCTAAGACCCCTAAAGAGCCAAAGGAAAAGAAAGCAAAAAATACCACGCCAAAACCCAAGACCAGCAAAAAGACAAGGTAAGTCAGGAAACTTCTGTATGTTATGGGGAACTGTGTTTGTGGGATTTCTAGTTGAGCTGCGTTAAATGGAGTGAGTGGAGAAATCTTGTTTTGTCTTTTGTCCTCAGTCATCTGCAATACCATGTTTTTGGAGAAACTGGCACGTTTCTCTTGTTTGGCTTTCCTGTTTATGGCTACACAATTTTTCTAAACACGTGGGAAAGGCAGAAGTCTTTGCCATGTCCACCAAGGTTAGTTTTTCTTTTCAAGGCATAAACATTCCTGGATCTGTTAGGTTTCAAAATTAGCTTATTTTCTTCTGACGCTGGTCTGTTCTTCTGTGTGGTTTGTATATTAAGAGATGCTTCAACAGCAATTTAGGTTTGACCAAAATTGAAATGAGGGGCCTAGAGGGAAAAAAAAAAAGAAGTTTTTGTCCAACTAAGGAAGTTCAGCACCATTGCAAGCTGTACAACTCACTTATTTGATGCTGACACAAGCTGAAGGCTAGAAGATTTCTGTTTAAAAAAAAAAAAAAAAAAAGTTTTTATATGAATAGTGATGTGTGACTATATCCCTCACTTTAGAGGTTATACTCATTTTACTGTTTCATGTAAAGACATTTTTGCTACACAGAGTCTTTGTAGATGAGCCAGATGCTTCAACCCTGCTTCTCTGCTGTTTTCACTCGGCATCGTGTCCCTTTACAAGGATAGGCTTAGAATACTACTGAGTAGTATGAGAGAACAAACTGCTGTTACACATGAGTAAATACGTCATAGATAATAACTAAGATTCTTTCCTTACCCCTCAACTCCCTAAACACCATGATTATAAATGCTCACTTGAAAGAAAACTGAGAGGAAAAAGACATTAAAGCTCAATTTTTTTTCATTTGTATCTAGAATTTCTTACAACTGTTCTGAATTTGTTCCAAACATCTGAATCTGTTTTTCAAGATGTGGCTAGTGTTATAAAATATAACTTCCAGATGGAAGCACAGCCAGACTTGGTTAATCCAAATCAGTTTGCAAAATCCATTTGTATCAGGGTTTTAAAATTGCAGTTAATGAATCAGCTTTGCATATATTCTGCAAGACTGACTATCAGTGGTTAGTTCTGCTTCAGCTAAATGAGGCACAGATAGCAATAAACTACTTTCTCCTTTGGCAAGAATGAACTTTTTTTCTCAGATGGCAGAGACAATGTTTCCTGAAGAACTTAGAAATACTGACCTGTACAATCAAATGTTGTCCTTCCTGAACTGGCTTTGTGGACTGTTCAATAAATTAGAGTTGATTAGCCTATCTTATTGCAGAAGTCATACAGACTGTGTTTCAGCCTGTCCTCCGGGTGGGTTTTATATACAGAGTAAGTCACAGCTTAAAAAAAAATGCTTCAAGCTGTTTCTCTCAGTGTATGTTTTTGAAACCAAAATACTGTATCACCTTTGTGCTTCATTTCCAGATATTTGTAGGCTTAAAGGCTGAACAGGCCATATTACTGCATGACATTGAGCATCTCCTAGCAATTTTTTGCACCAGGAAGTAGAAAAACATTTACTGCAGGACTAGTCAATTAGTGTACTTTTACAAGGACCTGACTGCAGTGAAGCTTTGTTTAATAAGCAATGGTTAGAAAGAGTGGCTCAGAAACATGCCTGGGTTCCTATGGCTCTGCTGGATATCAGACCTCAGAACTTGTCTGTCCTCTCCACTCAATCTTCACATCTCTTTGCACGCCTTCTCTAAGTCCTGGGACATGCTGTGCAGATTAAAGGAGGAGTATTTCCTTTGAAGGAACAAATCACTGCTTTCTTAGTTGTGTCTCTGGAAAGGCTTTATCTTCTTTCCCTTGCAATAACTCTTGTACGTGAGTAGCTAGATGTGTTCTGCTATTTCCTAAGCCCTATTGCTAGCAGTGTTCTGCTATTTCCTAAGCCCTGTTGTTTTACCTGTGAGAGAAATGTGCTTTGAGCAGCACTGAAGAGCATGTGCTGTGTGTGTAAGCATGCTTACACAAAGGTGTTGAGAAAGTTTACTTTTTCCCTTAATGGACTTGTCTTGCTGTTACCAGCTGCTCTTTTGAAAACAAGATTGTTCTCGTTTTGTCAACTTCAGTATCAAACTTCTTCAAAGAACTCTGATGCTGTGTTGGGATGCTGTGCTGCTTTGGTAGAATTTTAACTCAGCGAAAGGAAATTTGTTTGCTTTGGCAGTATCGCAGACTGGGGAGTCAGTCTAAATGACAGATCATTGCATCAAATTTTTAGATGAATCAACAGCCCAAAAGCTGCAATACTTCAGCAGCGCTAAGTTTCTATAATATCTGAGTAAGATTCCAGCAACTTAACACAGATTATGGTATGATAATGTACAAGTGTAATTTTATGATGAAAGTTAATAATGTGTCTGGCATGAGTGTGCTGATATTTACTAATAATATCTCAGTATTTTTAATTTAAGTGTTGAAAAGAATAGTGTTGTTTCTTTTTTTAGATTTTTTAAATGCTGTGCAAAACCAAGTATTTTCTTTCCCAAATTGGCTAATTAGTTTAAATAGAAGAACAGAGTTACACTCATAAAATTCTGATAAATAAAGTCAGACGTACACATGTATTTATCAAAGAGCATTATTTTTTCTTTTGGATAGAGTGTTATAAAGCCCCAGTTAACTATTTGACACAGGCTGCATCTTAACCGCTTTGTAATGCAACACAGCTCATAACATAGCCCTGTCTGTCGTTTCAGTTTAAATTTTGACTAACTGTATAAATCCTTTCATTAAACAAACAAGAAACGCAGAGAAACTTTGTCCTTCATGTGTCTGCTATATTTGGTGTAAGTTGTGACAAAATGAGCAGCCTGCCTCACTGAAAAGCAGCTTCATGTGATGGACAGGTCAGATGGGAGGAACGGAAGAAGCTGATTAATTGCATGCTTGTTTGAACTGTGAGTCCTATGACATCTTAAAAAGAAAGAAAGCACTAAAATCAGAGGCTACTATGTTGTACTGTCTAGTTTGTGATTTGGAAAGAAAGATCACTTTAATTTGTTGCTATGAGCCTAATCCTGCCAACACTGAAAGCCAGATAAAGCAGTGGCTGGTTCAAAACAAACAAACAAAAAAGAACAACGAATCTTCTGTAGGCCAAATTAGCAAAGATCAAAAGAAAAATGCAGGTATACCTGAGAACACCAATGGAGGTTTTTCATTAAATTGCTCAGTGCAGAGTATTATGTGGCCTTTTCATGTTACTGAACCAGCTTCAGGCACGTGCAAAGCACGCAGGTTATTTCCAGAGGTAATAGTAGGACTATTTGCCTTTCCCTGTCTAAACTGCAAAGTCGTGGCTCAGATGTCTGTTCCTTCTGGGCCTGTCCCTGGAGAAGATGTGGAGCACCTGTTTGAGAAGATCACACTGCAGCACAGCTGATAGCTCTCCTGCTGCTTCCTGTGAAACCTTAGAGAGTGACCACCTACAAAGGTGGGAGAAGCAGGAAAGAACTTGAAAGGGCCAGAAGGCAGCCCCTTGTGGGAACTTGTACCTTTTCCCATCTCCTCCAAACAGTATGTTGTGCTTTGCAGGGCTTCTCTAATCTGCTTCCTCCCCTCCCTACTGCAGGAGAAGTTCTTGTCCCTCCGTACATGTAGCAGCTGCCTGGGATGGAGGTTATGGTGAGTGGGTAGGCAGGCTGCTGCTCGCAGAGCACTAGCATACCTACCTCTTTTAGAGAGAGGTGGAGACTGACTTCTTTGGCACGCAAATAAGCTATTTGTTGTGTAGGAAAGGGGATGGCTTCTGGCTGCGGAAGTGGGAATAGGCTGCTGCAAAGGGGAGTGGTGTGAGCAGCAGGATGCAGTACCTTAGGGAGGCAGAGGACAGGAAGAGAGGTCCCTAGGTGGTACTGGTAGTTTCCACTCCAAAGCTCAGATCATTCTGCAAAAGGCAGGAAGGGGTTGCCTGTGGGAAAGGACAGGAAATAATGCAAGATTTCCATGCATGTGTCTGCAGAGGCAGTTCCTCTTCACACCTGTTCTCTTCTCCCTTTTGAACTATCCCAGCTGCCAAATATTTACCTTTGTCTTCCCTGCAGGCAGGCCTTCTGGGCTTCACCATTACCAAAGCTTATTTTTTAATGATTCAGCAGAGCAGTCAGGCTGGAATAAACCTTATCATCCCATTGTTATTTTTCCTACCTCTGTCACATGTGAAAGCATTATATAAAGGGGGTTTTAATGTCAGATAAGATAGTAAAGAAAGTCTAAGCCCTAACATTTGAGGAGCATTTAAGGGTTTGTTGTTTCGTCGCTCCACAGTGGATGTACAACATCTTTCTAATCCAGGTTCTAGTCAGGAATTTGTCATGGGACAGTGTTCCCAAATGGAAAAATAGGGATCAGTAGTGTGTCTGACTTGCCTTGGTTGTTTAGATTACAGAAAAGGGTTAATTATTTCCCTCATAATCCTGTGAAACATCCCATGCTTTTTGGGGTGTTTTGGGGTCAGATGGTTCAGCCCTCTAAGATCCTGGTGTCTGACCTTACTCTGTAGGTGGCTGCTGACTAAGTGACACAAAGCATGGTTTGTCAAAGATGGTATGCTCATTCTCAAGTTGTAATTCATGCTTTCTTCTCTGTTATCCTGCTTAAGTTTTCCTCTTCAGACCTTGTTTTCCTTAGTGGTGTTCTCTCATCTGACCTTCTGCAGGTTTTCTTCTCACTGATCCCCTTTGGTCAGTGTGCTGTGCAGTCCCCAGGGATAAGAGGATAAAACCAGAGAGTAGTACTGGACAGCTCGGTTGTGAGACATCTAATCTGAAATGTCTCTGTGTTTTAACTGAATAGAAGGACTGGTTTTGACTAACAGAAAGTGTTTTGTGTGGATGCAAATACCTCCTTAGTTTCTCCCAGATTTGGAATTCTTGTTTGGAGTCTGTAGGCTTGTCTCTAGTGAGAGTTGGTTAAATCATATGTTCGGTCATGTAAAAATGCATTTAAGTTAGTTGTTGTCTAAATGCACCTATTATAGTTTGCCACCTGCAAAGTACTATCAGTGTGCATCTCTAGCACACTGAGACACAGACTAATGGTTATGCTAAAACCACTAAAAAAATACATTCCACCCCCCTGTACTCAGATATGGAAAAGTAATTCTGGCCCAGCCAAACAGCGTCCTTGAAGGGCAGGAGCAGATGAGGTGGGCCGAGTCAGCGAGGCTTTTAGGAGCAGATCCTGCTGGCCAGGTGAAGCCTCGTCCACGAGGATAGCGCTCTTTTTCTCCGCTTTATTTCTTCTCCACCTTCCCTATTTTTCATGGCAGAAGCTGTGGCTGTGTATTTAATGTCGGCAATTCTCCCGAGTTCAGAGCTTATATTTCTCAGCGGAGCTGGGCTTTGTTCTCCCAAGTTGGCGGCGTGTGTGTGTGTGTGTGTGTGTGCGCGCGCTGTTAGCTGGCCTGTCAGGGGCGATGCGAAATGGTGTCCGGATGACTTAGCGCGCGGCTCCCTTACGAGTGTGACTCAGTCTGCCGAGGCACGACCTGTGGGTATATATAGGTCACGGAATGCTCGCGGGAAGGCGTTCAGCTCCGCCACCAGGAGCGGGGGAAGGTCTGACAGGCATTAGAAAGCAATCTTTGTCGGGGTGGATCTGCCCGAGCGCTCCAGCCTGCGGCGGGGCCTTTGTCTGGGCCGTGTCGGGCTGTGCCAGCCGAGCGCTGCCGGTGCGCGTTCCCCACCGTGCTGCAGGAGGATGTCTTATCCAACCTGGGCCGCACTATTCTTCCAGGCTTTAAGCCTGTTATTCATAGGCGCTGGTGCACCTGGGGCATGGCAACTACCACTGAACTTAATTGTGCGCTTTGCTCTGATTTATGGAGGTCGCCTGCAAAAAGCACCAGCCTGTCAGCTCGCTTCAACCTGGCAGCCCTCCAGCCCCCTTGACAGGCCCACCTTTGGTTTGAGCACATCTGAGAAACGTGGAAAGTTCGGCGCGAGGTTTTGTCAGGTTGTGTTTGGGTGATTTTCTTCGTTTGTTTGGGGGCTTTTTGTTGCTTTTTTGTTTTTTGTTTTTTTTTTTTTTTGGAGGCGGCTTGGCCGTGATTTCATAAAAAAAGGGGGACAAAAAAAAAAAAAACCAACAACCAAAAAAAAAAAAAAGACAAAAAAAAAAAAAAAAAAAAAAAAAGCCAAAAAACCCGCGGCCGCGCAGGTGTCGGAGCGTTGGGCGCTGATTGAGAGAAGCAGATGGCTGCAGTCGGTGGCCGCCAGCCAGCGGAGCAGGTGCTGGTCACGTGGCCGCGGGTTGCCAGGGCGATGCGAGCGCTCTCGGCGCGCAGATGAAAGGCCGGGGGCCCCGCTTCAGCTGTAGCATTGTGTAATTTGTGGCAGTTAGAGCGGAAATAAACGCTGGAAATGGAGCCGCGTAGCAGGGGAGACTCCCGGCCATGTGCGGCCTGCGCCGGGCGGCCGCGGGAGGCAGCGGCTGCGGGCTGCGCTCTGCGCTGGCGGCTTCACTCCGGGCGGCGGTGTCGAACTTCTTCCTTCCATCCCTCCCCCATATTTTTTTTTTTAAACTTTTGGTGGAAAACTGTCAACATTTTGAGGTGCTTCCTTCTTAAAAGGAAAGCTTCAGCGCCATGTAATTGCACTGTAGTAGGAATTTATTTTCAAAATTCCCATTTTTATGTTAACTTTTCTTTTGAACTCAGTGTCTGTTGAAACGCATTCACGTCCCCCATATATGCACACAAATACGCACATGTATATAAAACTATATTTAGAAACTTCAAATTACCGCTCCAAAGTGTGCCTCTGGTTGACTAGTGTGCAGGAGAAACAAGCTGCAGAGCGTGTCCAGGGTGTGTAAGTGATGCAGGAGAGGAGGACAAGCCGTGTTGTAGTGGCTGCAATAATGTCTGGGGTTGGTACTTTCTGGTCACCAGGTAGCGGTGCACAACTATATGCCAGCAGCTTTTCTTTCAATGTGTCAGCAGCTCTGCAAGCAGCAGCTGTCAGGGCAGTGCTAGGACTGAAGGTTCTGAACCCACCCAGCCTGTGGAACTGAATGTGCTGGTGATGTTTAACTTCCAGCATCACTTCTTACCCTTTACTGTCTAAACATCGTGTCTCTATTGCTGGAGATCACCTCACTGCTTGTGTTGGTGGCAACGTGTTAAAAGCTGGGTTGTGATATGGGAACCTGGAACTTCCCAAAGTTGTGATGTGGTCAGAAAGATGTAGTGCCAGCTCCTCCGGTGGTGAATGTTTTCACAAAGGGTGACAGGGATGGTCTCTAAACCTCACACTGTCAGCAGTGGGTGTAACTTGCAGATGCTGAGATATCAGGTTTTCTTCTCCCTCACCAGAGAAACAAAGATAGAAGAACCTGTGTTGAAGTGTTAAGGTGAGCTAGCCAGTCTGGGTAGCTGCAGCTGATGGCAACAAGCCTTATCGGACCAAGTGCCTTCAACCCTCTATGCAGACCCCACTCTGCTGCCACACGCAGCCATCACATGCCTCAAGTCCTCATGTGTGCCCTGAGGGCTGGCACTAAATCTCTTGCTGTTCCACTGCTTAGAACTGTAGGCTCAAGTGCAGAATTCTTGCCATCTTTGGTACAGCTTCCTCTGGCTTGCCTAGTTGACATGGGGAGTGGCAAAAAAAAAAGTGCAAGTGTAACTCTGTTTGTATTCATGTGTGTCAGTGCTGTTTCCAGAAGGTGCAGGTTTTAAACAGAGCAGGTCTTCTTCACCATTCTCATTTCTAGTTTCTTGTTGAAGACTCTAAGATACTGAAGGGAGGCTGATTCCTTATTCTGCTGTTGAGGAGAGGGAAACATACAGAAGTGGCCCGTGCATCATTGGGTTTACTGTTACATTTAAATACTTTAATAAGGCAAGGCGGTTGACAATAATAAAGTCGCTGAAAATAAATATCTTGCTGATTAACTGTTCTGTTAAGTGCTTTCTGCTTATTTTTTAATACAAATATTGATTAAAAATACTTTTGTCCTAGTAACAAGAAAACAGATTCAGAAACTAGTGCTGCGAAGAAAAAGGTTAACAAGGGAAAGGAAGGTTCTGAAAACTCAGATTTGGATAAAACTCCACCACCTTCACCTCATCCTGAAGATGAAGATGATCCAGGAGTTCAGGTAATTCTGTCTCCCAAGTTCAACGTAGACTTTGGCAATTGAATTGCATGAAATGATAGTTCTCTCAGTTTGAGATGTGGAGATAGAGATATGTAAGTATTTACTGTGTTGATCAGAATGACGTACCAAGAAGGTGAAAGCTAGAAGTTGCTGTGGTGAATATTTTACTAAAACAAGTGTCGTTCTTCATAATTTTACTTTACAGTCTTGTTATCCTTAGATGTATGCATGGCGCTGCTGAGCTTTCATATGTTTTCTTCTGTTACTGCTTGCAGTTGGGACACTGCATTTTCTGATCTGTCGACTTTACGTGGCATTATGAGGTTTTTCTTATGAGCGTCTTGTTTCTTCTTTGCGTCAGCTTTGGAAGTCTTCTGAAATCAAGCACAAAATGTGACAGAGCAGGATGAGGGAAATTTGCATGTTGGAGACTTTTAACTATACCACTTCTATGTATGACAGGCCTTTCTTCAGAACTGCCAGCTATCAGCTCGTTTTTCTTTAGCACTGCTCACCTATTCATTTCTCTGTAAATTTCCCTTAACATAAGGAAAATCTGGAATAGGAGTGAGTGCATATGAGAATTATTGTATGTCCTGCTGCTTGTCGTATTAAAAAGTGGCCAGCTCCTGGCTTTCTTCTGCTGGCAGTGCTCAGAGCAGGCATTAAAAGTAATCATTCCCTTGTTAAAGGATATAAGCAAATTGTGATGGAGAAAGTATGACACTCCTGAATTGTCACGCTGATATCACTGAAGTCTATTGCATTTGACTATTGCATATCAGCTCGCAGATCTTGCTTCTAGTTATGAGAGCTGTTGAAGCCAGTGATTAGTAGTCAAATTAGCCTGGTAAAAATGTTGCCAAAGGTTGATGTCCTAACACATACACAATTTATTTCTGTTCATTTTGTTTTCTTAATACTTTTTTCCTCATGCTGCATATTTTGCCAATTCCATTCTTCCTCATGTAAACTTATGGAGGTTTATATAAAGGTTCATATCTTTATATACTGGGACTGCTGGGATTAATAAACTTGTTATGCTGGCATTCATATGCAGTTGGCTGAAACTCCATGGCTGAAACTCCGTGATTCACCTATAGAGATCCTATAATGCAGGAAGTGATGCACTGCTCTCTGTAGAGTCAGTTATTTTGTGTTATCGTACAGATTTTTTGTGTTGTGTTACATATAGATCAATTAAAGAGTAAAGGATAATCTAATGCAAGTGAAATATGCACAGTTTCTGGCGATGCATAACATTTGCAAAGCCTCACGTGGATATCAGAAGAAATGGGAAGTTAACCAAGCTGATGAACTTCAGAGGGATGCCTACCATTACATTCTAGGCTTACTTTCCATTAGAGAAATATAAGAAGACTTTTGGCACCAAGAATAGTGGTAAGATTTACCTATTGAGCCAAAAGAAGATGGATATTTTCCCATCAGTGATCATGGAAATAAGGGTGTAAATTTGCCAAGTAGCATCTATTTTCAGCTATGAAAATATTGGTATTATGTTACAGCTTCATGGGAACCCCTGTAAGTTGGGGCTTCTACCTTTAACATAGCATCATAGTTGTTTAAAGGGGTGTCACTGCTGAAAATTTTCATTTGCAGTTAAGGGCAATTTCCTATTTAGTGGAAATTGTGCCTCAGATGTTTGTGCTTAGAAAATGTCTAAAAATAAATTTTACACATTTATGCACATTTAGAGACCTGGGTGCATAGATCTGTTGAAGAAGCTCTGTAAGTATTTCACGTACTGGAGACAACGTGTGTTGAACTGAGAAAGATACAAAAATAAGCAATATATCAATTCATAAAAGTAGACTGTATCAGTTGAAATTCAGCATCTTTTTAAAAAATGTTTGAGTCCATTGAGATTTTTGATGATGACTTTACAGTTTCCTTCAACAGCATAATGCTGTCAGCTTTTGAAAGTGTATTACCTGAAGCAGAGTGTGTGGGAACTTGAATTTTATTGTTGCAGAGAATAAATCACGCTGAATGACATGTTTCCAATTCTGTCAAATGAATGCTTGTGTATTTTACAGATTTTCTGCATCTCCTCTGAAATTTTCTCTCACCCTTGTGTAGAGGGTACGGGAGACGCGGGAATTATGTTTTCAGTCTGTGAATGGTTCAGATTTCTCATTCTCCTCTCTTGAAGTTTTGGGTCTTTTCCTATGCTGTGCTCCAAGCATATGTTTCTGAACAATGCTGTCAGTGGAGTGAGGAAATCATGTTGTGTTATATTTCCCCTACAAGATAATCTGGAGAGATGGGAAGACCATGAAAGTGTGTAGTCACTGCTCAGCAACATTATAGCCATGCCATGGAAAGGTGGTATTTGGTTCCTACAGTGGCCATCTGTCAGCCTTCCTTGTGCAAATGATTTGAGAGGGGCAGCTTCTGATTTTTTGAATTGCTTTGAGATACAGTTTTAACTTTAACTTTCTGTTTAGAAGCGACGCTCCAGCAGGCAGGTGAAGAGGAAGCGTTACACAGAAGACTTGGAATTCAAGATTTCAGATGAGGAGGCAGATGATGCTGATGCTGCTGGAAGAGACTCTCCTTCGAATACTTCTCAGTCAGAGCAACAGGTCAGATTTGAATGGAATAGAAAGGTGGATTCAACAGCAAAATTCAAGGTTCAAATATGGGCCTTTTTTCTGAATGATGTTAATCCCTGCTTGGCACAGTGTGCCAGAAGGAATTAGCTTTTTATGAAAGAATATGTTCTTTCATGACTTTGTTTACAAGTGGTGATGTGCATTTTGACACCGTTCTTTGAAATTAGTGGCTTCTACCTAAGGGAAACCTGAATTGGACTGCTAGGAGTCAGGATTTACTTCTCTCACAGAATTCAGTGGTCTGGCTTCTGTGACTTTAATAAACCACTCAAGCTTGTCCCCTGCTGCTAGGCACCATAAGAACCCCTTTATGAAATTACTGCCTTGTAGTACCCAGCAGGGTATACTTTATTCTCTGTGCAATGTAAATGACGGATAAAATAGTTTGAATAAGATGAGGGGTAATAATATAGGAATGACTGTTGTAACAATCTCATTGTTTTGTAGTGCATTTTCAGAATACTACTTCACTTAACTCACTGATAACCTATTGGAAAATGTAGATGTGTTCTTTGGTATTTCATACGGTGATTTGTTAAGCCTTATGAAATACTGTATGTGATCTCCATTGTTAATTGTGTTTTATCAGAAGGGGAATTTTCTAGGTTTGCCTGCAGTGGGAATCACATGTAATTTTGATAGCTATCGTGTGGGCATTTACGGAGCCAAGCAGAGTTCTTGAATGTTTTCTAATATTTCTATTGTATGGTACTGAAAGCATGTATAATTTTAGGAGAGGTGAACTCATCTATGTGTGTACTGTTAGCCTTTGTGGGAAAGCTGGAGTTCCATTAGCTCTTAAAAATGTGTTTAAACAAGTATCTTTCAATTTTTTATTATGGCATTGTACACGTTTCTCAGTTCTCGTGCTGAGAGGGGAAAAAAAAACAAAACATGTTGGGAAAAAAATATATGAAGTTTTTTCTAATGAAGAAAGAATTGAAGTACTATTTGCACAGCCATAACTCTTGTATAATATTTGTGGTGCAGGAATCTGCTGATGCTGAAGGTCCTGTTGTGGAGAAAATCATGAGTAGTCGCTCAGTCAAGAAAAAGGTAAAAAGGAAACTTCTTCCCTCCATGTTTTTAAACAAGCTAAGTATGTTTCTGTTAAGACCCCTAGTAAGTTCTCAAAAAATACTTGGATATTTCTAATTGAAAAATATTTTACTGAATACTGGAGCTTCCCTCAGAGTGTCTTTAGAGAACATTAAACTTTCAATTGTGTAGGCATGTGCAAAACATGCTGCTTGTTTAGTGTTCCAGTCTTTTCTTGAGTTTCTTCAGAAGAGAATTTTGATTTTTGCAAATATATATATACCTGGACAGAATCTGTGGTGTCTTTTGCTTCAGAGTAATGTTTTAGGGGAGTTTGAGGAGTGAGACCTCTCCTACATCCTGGGTTTCTGCCTAACTGTAGTACAGAAGAATCCTTGCCCGTAATTTTTACATCTTCTGACAGTGGGTGTGCTTAGCAGCCTAAGTTTACTTGTGATCTAGGAAGTTATATATAGAGGTGGTCAGAGAGCTTCTTGTTGCTATGCTGAGAGAGTGAAAAAAGTATTCTGCTTGGTGAAGTGTGGTTCTCTTTTAATTCTGCCCTGTTGCCAGCTATGTTCCTATTTTGCTGCAGTTTCCCTTAATATACTTTAGAACTTGATTGGCCCTTGCACTTCCAAAGTATTATACTTTGAGTAGGAAGTTGACAAGAACTTTTTCCTAAAAATGCATTATATTTTCCAGACTCTTTTGTGTAATTCTCTCACTCATCTTATAGTTAGAAAGACCTGTCTGATTTAATATAGGTACAAAGCTCATGTTGAATGTATTTAACCAGAAATAAATATTTCCCTCAAAGAGTTAATTTCTTCAAATCTAATGAGGAAAGTTGTGCTTATCCATGGATTTGTTTGTTGTGGGTTTTTGTTTTTGATTTTATTTTAGTACTGCTGTCATAACATCATTAACAGCTTTGTAAACATAAATTCATGCAGTGTCATGACTGGCTTTGGTTGAGTTTGATTCTACAGTTTGTATGGCACAAAACCCCTAGGGTTGTTGTTGTTTTATTTATTTAAGTCTAAAGCTGTAGTTTGTATCTGAAAAGAAAAAAGTTTTAAAATACAACTTAATACTAATAAACCAAATAATTAGTTGCCCTGTGGTCTACTGGAGAGGAGACGAGAAGGTGATCTTTTCATACATGTCTTTACATTTGAAGCTGTTTTTCACCAACTATTCTTCTCTTCTTCTTCTCTCCTGCAAATAAAGGTGTGATTACTCATGGGGAGTGTGTATTTTACTGCAGTTTGTGGGAAGTGGTTGGTCTGCTGCCTACGTGTCTTTGATTGCAAGCACTGCTGGAGGCAAGCTCTATTTTGAGCCTGTTCTTTAATGTTTTTTATGGATTGTATTTGCAGGTTTGAGGGGTGTCTCTTGTTTCCTGCTCTTCTTCCCAATGCTCCTCTCTATCCCCAAAAAATGGATTTCAGGATGTTAATATTTAACATCTGAAGTATCCAACTGTGCTTTTATTAAAGGTCTTTTACACTTTTACTAACGTCATCAAAACACTGGTTGTTAGATTACTAATCAAAGTAAAATTGCTGCGATCAGGACCAACACATAAAATAAACATGAGTGAAGGCTTCACTAGGAAACCTTTCAGTGGATTAGGTTTTGCAAAGATGTTTAGTTTGAGTAAAGGACATGAGGTAATGAGTACGCTTTCAAAACAGCATTCTTAATATTATGCTGGTTTTTCTGAAATATAGGCTTAGTCTAGTTTTGGGGTTACTAGATCAGAAACAGAATTATACTTACAGCCAAATTTCTTCTGTGAATGATTCAAGCACAACAGACAATTTTTTCCCCTCTTGTTCTTAACACGGAATTTTTATTTCTGGTTAATACCCTTGCTGAAAGTGCTAAGAGCATGTTCTCTGTCAGAGTTTACATAGAAAAACTTACTCAAACTGCCCACAGTTCGTATGTTTAAGTCTTTCATTTCTGTAATTCATTTCTTAACCAACTTCATCCCCCTTTGAATTTCTTAGCTTCGAAAAGGCCTGGATTGAACTAAAGGTGCTATTCAGCACAATCACATGTATTCAGGAAAGTCCTGTGGAGTTTGCAGGGTGCTGTACCCTGTATATTGCATATCTGAATTTCTCTCTCTGCCTACTAATGCACTATAAAAATTATATCTAAGAGAACTGTGTACAACTGCTTATGTTTATTCCACAAACTGGTTAGATTAAAATCCAGCTTAGCTGTCTGCTATTTTTCTAGCAGGTGATCTTACTGTTTTTTGTGGGATTTTTTTTTTCTTAAGCTCTGACTTGTATCTACACTTCAATGCCTTACTCAAATAACTTCCGTTCTAGCAGGTATTACTGTATCACTTCTGTGGCAAAGGCAGTGCAAAATTGTATTTGCTTGAAGGAAGAGATCATTTGTTTCTTTAGTTATCTGCAAAGACTGCAGATCACATCGTCAATTATGTCACACCTGGGCAGTGATCACTGGAGAATCCTGCTTTGCCCGTATCTGATATGCTATTTTAGGTTGTCTGCATAATCACTTTTCTGGGTTTTTTGCCTAAATCATAGAATGGTAGAATGGCCTGGGTTGAAAAGGATCACAATGATCATTGAGTTTCAACCCCTGTGCTACATGCAGGGTCACCAACCACCAGCCCAGGCTGCCCAGAGCCACATCCAGCCTGGCCTTGAATACCTCCAGAGATGGGGCATCCACAACCTCCTTGGGCAACCTGTTCCAGTGCATCACCACCCTCTGGTTAATGTAAACGTGTGCTGGGGGCTGAATGGTAACATAGAGTGCATAAGCTTCTACATCATTCATCCTGTACTGATGGACAAATATACTCCACTTGAGTGCTGGAGATTGTAACTTGTTTTTTTTTTAACCAAAAACATGAGTTCCAGAATAAGATTTTTAAAGGATTTTTTTTCTGAAATACTTTTTCTTTAGTTAAATCTTTGATGCATGCTCATAGAACATATAATAAGTGGTCTATATTATTGTCTATTAAATAACATAGTAATATATTCTACTCATTAGATGGACAGGACTTATCAAGATTTTCTTCATAAATTATTGTTTGATATTGGCAGCTGACAGAAAATATACTTGGCTGAAATGCTGCAAAAAGGAGTTAAATTGTCTAATACAAAATCTTTATACAAAGGTGTTTAACCACATTGTTTCTGTAAGACTGATACATCTCAAAGTTTTTGATTTAAAACTAATCAAAGACCACAATGTGCTTAAAGAAATAAAAAGGTAGTATCTTAAGATTAAAAAAGACTTCTTAAAGAGTAATTTTGTCTCAAGAAGTGAATAGAATTCAAATAGTGTGATCTCTGTTTTTTTCTTTTATTCTTCAGTTTTGGCCTCTAATATGAGTACCTTTATCAGGCATACTCTTTTTATTTATTTATTTTAAAAAGTTGTGGTCTTCAGATTCCTTCTTCTGACAGTTTCTTTGTAAGTGACTGAAAGGTTCCTCCCTGATTTTTTAGGGTTAAAAGATAGTTTATCTCCTTCAGCAGAGGGTTCAAGGTCATCCAGAAGTAGCTCCAGAAATAGTTTGTCATCTTCCATTTGTCCAGGGAGCCCTATGTGGAATCAGGCATTCACATCTGTAGAGAGGAACATAAGCAAACTGTACCAGACATAAACCCTAAAATGATTAAATCCCTTGATAGCCTGGAAGAGAAGGATTACTTACAGAATCACAGAATTGCAGGGGTTGGAAGGGACCTCGAGATCATCCAGTCCAAACCCTCTGCCAAAGCAGGTTCCCTACAATAGGTTGCACTGGTCGGTGTCCAGATAGATCTTGAGTATTTCCACAGGATACTCCACAACCTCTCTGAGCAACCTGTTTCAGTGCTCTGTCACCCTTACTGTAAAGAAGTTCTTCTGTATGTTATTGCAGAACTTACTATGTTCTAGTTTTAGGCCATTACTCCTTGTCCTATGACTACATACCACCAAAGAGGAGCCTGGCTTCATCCATTTGTCTCCCGCCTCCCTTTAGATATTTATGAAGGTTTATCAGATCCCCTCTCAGTCATCTTTTTCCCAGGCTGAACAGACCCAGATTACTCAGCCATTCGTCATAAGGGAGATGCTCCAGGACCTGCATCATCTTTGTGGCCCTCTACAAGACTCCTTCTGGGAGATTTCCTGTTACCTTTGAAATGAGGAGCTGAGAACTGGACACAGTCTAAATGTGGCCTCACCAGGGCAAAGTAAAAGGGGATGATCACCTGCCTTGACCACTCTTGTTTTAATGCATCTCAGGATACATTGGCCTTCATGGCCACAAGAACAGCATGCTGGTGGCTTGTGGCCAACCTGTTGTCCAACCAGGACCACCAGATCCTTCTCTGCAAAGCTTCTCTTCAGAAGGTCATCCCCTATGATTGATACCTGTATTGATGTATACTCCATAAATGAGAGACTAGGAATGATTTTAACTTCTTCTTTAGAATAGAGTTTGATGCAGCTACTAGTGTTGCTTTTTAATTGATGATGCTGTGAAAGTAGTATCTTCCTAGTAACTTGTCCTTTGAGAAAGATGTTGAAAGATTCTAATTCATTCTCTAGCTTTAGAGTAATCTTTTTATTCTTTTTTTTATCACTCTGAATATATAGATATAAAGTGGAGGATGTTGATTTATACAGGGGTCAATGTTTTTGTCTATTTTGTGCTACACACAATATTGCAGGTGTTGCTGTTGCTGGTGTTGTTGTCCCTGATGAAGTACGTAAAAGAAAATCCTCTTTGCTTTAAAACGGTTCCAAAGTTCATTAGCAAACACACCGTTAATGTTGTGACATAAACTGAATTCTAAACGTGTGCCTGGTGCACTGTCCTTAGTTTGTCCTATGGCAAGGTTCAGGAGTAATACTTTTTGAATTACATGCCATATGTTATGCAATACTTTGGCACTAGGGATGAGTTAAAGGTAGTCTGAACCCTTAGCACTGAATGCCCTTGGTTTTTCTGGTTTATATCGCAACTTTAACCTTGCTTTAAATGTAGTTTTTGGGTGTTAATTTAATTTGGCTGCTCTGTATGTGAGACATCTTGCCTGAGTGAATTTAATTGCACCATTGAGTAAAACTAAAGCCATGAACACCGATGCACTAAAATTCTAGCAGAGGTATAAGGTTTAGTTTTATATGGCTTCTTGTTTGGAGTTATTAACTATATGGTGGAATAAACCCCTTTTAAAACTCTTTTTTAAAACATTACAAAACCCACAATGTAGAGTTGCCATGAGCCAGCCAAAAATAATACATATGGCATTCAGGAGTGCAGTTGCTAATTGGCTGCTGCCTGAGAAAATGGTACACTTGGCTTCTACTTAACACTGTGGGTTTGGCAGAAAGCCAGATTTGGGGTGAGGTTGTGAATGAAGCTGCATGTGGTTAGGGAGGAGTTCAAATGATTCATGTCTTGGAAGTTGTAGTAAGCAGTGCAGTATGTACTTGGGTAAGCTGCTGGAGGAAACTCCTTACTCGTGTCCTCCCCCCACCTACACCTTCCTGCCCCTCTGCTCGTCTCTGCTGCTTTGTACATAGGCACCATATTCTGCATTTCTGTTACTAATAAATCAGTTTGTTCAGTCTTTCAATTCATATTTCAACAATGCTTTCCTTATAGATGGAGAATGGAGAGGAAGTAGAAATAGAGGAATTCTATGTGAAGTACAAAAACTTGTAAGTAACCCATTACCAGTTTGGTTCATATCTTTTAAGTTCACTTAATCTCACATAATGGTTATATTATAGCATTTGCCTAGAACACTATCCAACTTTAAGTCAACTTTAAATATTACTAATGTTTAACCCAGACCAGTGGCAACTAAATGAGGAAGTACTTTGCATTGGTGGTAGCAGGCCTGATGTCTCCTTAATTTGTATTCTCTCCAAAATGAAATACGTGGGTCAAATTGCTCTGCTATTAAACTTTAATTTAAGGTCCAATTATACATGCAGATTCATGAGCACACACACTTATCTCTATAGATCTAACTTCCACGGAGTTTTAATCTTCTAATGTGCCTGCAGACTAATCCAAAATACCCCATAAAATTGCCTCAAAAACAAGATTTGTGTTCAACAAAGTGACTTGCTATCATAACAATGAGATTCCAGAATTCCAGCAGGTAGCTGCTGGGTGTGGTAGTGATAGAAGAGTGCAGTGTTTTACTTCTGCTCTCTGAAACTGCAGTGCCATCAGTATTTAATATAGAATATTTCACAGCTGGGTAAGTTCATTTTTCTTCAAGAAAAGTAGCATATCTTGTTTAATTTTACCAACTTTTTGACCCAAAAGGCAGAAATTCACTTGAATTGAGTTTCTTGCTGCTAGTTGCAGATAGTTGACTTCACTTCAAATATCTTCCACCTTTGCACCCTTTGCACTATATTGATTATTGCATGATATAATAGCCTAACGATGCTTTGTTTAGTGCTATTACTTTGGTATATTTTTTATAGTGTCTTACACCTCTTTGTCTGTCAAAAGTTATACAGCTAAATGTATGACGTGGGAATAGTCATTTTAGGAGAGATGCTTTTTCTTAGTTGAAACTGTGTGTGTTCTTAAAGGTGAAATACTACAGAACTGCACTTGCAAGGGTTTTTCTTTTCATTTTATAAATGCTGAAACTTCAGTGACTAGCATGCAATTTCTAGTTATAGTGCTGTTCCCAAAAATGTTGTGTATGTTTGTATCTTGTACGGTGAGAGTGTTCAGTTTCCCAAGTACAGCACTGCACTGCACTGGGAAGTTTAATTGCACTGGTGGGATACGTTGGAGTATGCAATATAATGCAGGCTTGAGTAAGATTTTGTTTTGTCTTCCAGTTCTTACCTTCATTGTCAGTGGGCATCTGTGGAAGAGCTGGACAAAGACAAGAGAATTCAGCAGAAGATTAAGCGGTTTAAGGCAAAACAGGGCCAGAACAAATTCCTTTCAGAAGTACGATGATTTTTTATTTCCTTTAGATGATTAAGGAATATTTTAATGCATTATTTTTCTGTATACAAGCAGAAGACTTGGCAACTGTAATATATCAGCATTTATTCTGATATGATACAACCATGAGCAATCCAAGTCTTGTATGATTATGAAATTTGAGTGATCTATTCTGACTTGATACTTTTTACTATATATTTGTTGCTTAAAGTGAATGCTTAGTTGTTCGTCTTGTAAGCTTGACTTTTACTGAATCAGTACAAGGTCTTTCTTGTCAGGAGCTGATTATGCCAGAAAAATGCATCACATTTTTCTCTCTTACGGACGCTGCTCACTAGGGATTCTAAGCTTTTTATCATCAATTTAATTTCACTTAGAGCCATAAGCAATAATGTGGCAGGGGTCCTGTCAATAAACGACCAAATCTGCGGGTTTGGTTCTGAAAGCTTATCTTTCAGTAATGCACCCTTTTTTTTTTGTGGTTTTTTTTTTTTTTTTTTTTTAGGGGAAAAAACAGCTTTATATGGTACCTATTTATTTATTTGTACTTACTGTTACTATATAGTTCAAGTTGAACAAAATCTGTTGGAAATGGAAAACTTTAATAAAGTCACCACAGGTTTCGATTAAGTGTTCCTGGTTGATATATTCTTATAAAGTTTGCAGGAATTTAGGAGAGAAGGAATTGATGTGATATGCTTTTAGGGCAGAATATAGGGCATCTATCAACACTATGTCAGAACATCTAAGGAATACTTTGAGATTATTATAGAATGTGGTGGCAACTATGAGGAATTAAAAGCATAATATAATGCTAATGCTTGAGGAACTGAATTAAGTAGACCCTCAAGATTCCTGATTTTTTTTTTTTTTTTAAGAGGTCAATAAATACACGAAAACTTTAAAAAAAAAAAATAATAATAATAAAAAAAAATCAATGCAGTATATTGAGCAACATAATTGTGAGACTTAACATCTTTTTTTAAGTGTAGAAGCCTTCAATTTGCCTTCTTTGTAAACTATTTTTTTGAATGTTTCCAAGTGTGTCACAAATTATTCTAAGTACTTGGAATCTGTTTTGTTTCTCTTTTATTTTCCTAACTATGAAAATGAGCATAGTTTTTACCTCTTTTGTCTGGCTTTTCCATTGGAGGGGATCTTAAAAGTATAGAATGAAACATAGCTCTTCTGTACTGTTGTCAATTCCGTAAGTTCTGGAAGGGGAAAGATAGGATATAACAAAATGAGATTTTTGGACAATATGTACATACATGCCGTGCTTTTTCTGTTTTTGAAATGATCTTGAAACCTTATAAAGTGGTTAGATGATTCCTGTAGTTAAAATAATCCAAAGGCACTTATTGTACGAGTCTCTAATTTCTTTATTGCAAGCTGTAGTTTTCAAGAATGCTAAATGCATTGCATGCCATAAGCCTTTTCGATTGCTCATTAGTGAATTGTAATTTCACACTTCATTTAAAATATTCTTAAACATTCTCTCACAGTAAAAGGTTTCACACAGTAATTAAGAGGCCCAGTTAACAAAGTCTGAGAAGTCTGATTCCCTCACGGGGAATGATCTTGCTGAATTGTAGCATTTCAATTAACATGTTGAAGTTTGCCAAATATAAATTCTGTGTCACCGTGACCCAAAATATTATTGCCTGGTGAAATATATAATAATTTCTCCTCTCAGGAAGGACTAATAAAGATATCTTGTATATTTTTCTGCTTGTCTCCTTGAACAGATTGATGATGAGCTTTTTAATCCAGATTATGTAGAAATTGATCGAATCTTGGATTTTTCACGTAGCACAGATGATAATGGAGAGGTAAATAGAACTTTTAATGTATTTGTGGTCATGTGGATGTTCTGTTTAGAATGTATTCTTTATAAATTTGAATATATAAACAATTCTGAAGCTGTCATTGGGTATTTCTGCAGAAAATGTGAAAGCATTTGAAAAAACATTGGGTAATGTAGCATTTTCCCTAGAGTAAAGGATTTTAAGTGGGAAATCAAACTTCTGTGTTACTTACATTTAAAAACAAAACTACCCAATGTGCTACAGGGCCAACAAACAAGAAGAGGTGAGGGAAAACCAGCCCTGATTTGTAGCTAGGTATGTGATGTGCATGCAAGCAGTACAGAATTGAAATGAAAATTGCAACAGCCTTGCCAAAATGGGTGTTAAACAATGTCTGAACAGTTATGACGTTGTTAGATGTTTCATAAGAGGTCCTGAATCTACTGTTTCTTACTTTATATGACCTATTCTACAGAACAAGATTGCTTTTTTTCCAGGAGATTCCTTTTTGATCCTGAGAGAAAATAAAGCTTCAGTGACGGTGTCAGTATCTTTATACTGGTGATCTGTGAATGGTTGACTTTTTGAAAATGTAACAGTTGGAAAACCAGTATTCTTTTACTTCAAAGTGTTAGTTTAATGCAAGTGATGTCAAGCAAAGTGTTCGGTTCACATAAATTCCCTCTATTCTAATATGACTTTGTTAACTTGTCAAGGTATCAACCTGCTGCTTGCTTATCCTCTGGGTAGTTCAGACATTTAGGTCTTTAAATGCTTTTTGAATTTTGTCTAGCTTGCAGATCTCCTGTTTACTTTAAAAAAAAAAAAAAAGAAAAAGAAAAGTTTCACTTCTATTGTTTTATATTGTGATCTAATCTTTTTTATCTTGACAAAGCCTGTAACTCATTATCTGGTGAAGTGGTGTTCGCTACCTTATGAAGACAGCACTTGGGAGCTCAAGCAAGACATCGACCAAGCTAAGATTGAAGAGTTTGAGAAACTGATGTCTAGAGAGCCAGAAATGGAGCGTGTGGTAAGAATTGGCTGCGTATAGAGGGTTTTATTTGAAAATAGTGAAGTAATGTGGTCTTTCAGAAACCACTAATGGGATTTGCTGTATTTGAAACAGGAGCGACCTCCTGCCGATGACTGGAAGAAATCGGAGAGTTCCAGGGAGTATAAAAACAATAACAAACTCAGGGAATACCAGTTGGAGGGAGTAAACTGGCTTCTTTTCAATTGGTACAACACGTACGTAAAACACTGCTTACTACTGAATCTTACTTTAGAAAAGCTTTTCTAGTTTATATGCAATTATAACCTTTTAAAGTGCCCTTCTAATGTGAGATTTTAGAATTATTTATATCTTTCATTTTCCATCGCAGAAATTGTATATAAACTACTTATGGAGATGTAACATAACATTATATAAAACACAGATATTTTGGATAGGTTCCTGTGGCATTCGTGTATACCCACGCTGCCTCTCCCCAGCTTGGGAGGTACCTGTTTAATGCTTCACAAATTGTAGTATTTATTTATATCAAAAAAGATTGTGGTGTGATTTCAATGTAAGTTTGTCATTTTAGAAATGTTTTGTTCTCTTTAGTTACTCATGTAGTGATTTTTTTTTTTTTATGTTTTGATGTAAGATTATGGTTTTGTTGTTATTTTCAGGCGAAACTGCATTTTAGCAGATGAAATGGGGTTGGGAAAGACTATCCAGTCCATTACGTTTCTCTATGAGATATATTTGAAAGGAATCCATGGTCCTTTCTTGGTTATTGCACCGTTGTCCACAATTCCCAACTGGGAAAGGGAGTTCCGCACCTGGACAGAGTTGAATGTGGTTGTGTATCATGGGAGTCAAGCAAGCCGGCGGACCATTCAGTTGTATGAAATGTATTTCAAAGATCCACAGGTAAGAGCTCCTTGTGCAGTTATTCTGGGTTTTGTTTCTTTTGGTTGACTTTGTTGTTGTTGTTTTTTTTTCAATATGTGCTTTACAGTATCTAATTAATCTTAGGTTACAAACATCAATTAGGTGTTTTGGTTCTGTGTAGTACTAAACCTGGGGTAGTAGGTTTCAGTTAATAGTAATGTATGTGTGTGAAGAGAAACCATTTTAGTAGCAGCCAGGAGATCGATTGGAAATAGAATAGAATAGACTAAGTTACTGGGATAGAGTATTCAGGTTTTATTTTTTATTGTTACATGCAAGGGTTTCATTGTTTTGTACTCCTGAGGAAAAACTGGCAGAAAGGATTCTTAATGGAGAAAATGCTTTAAAGGAACTAAGCTTGAAAGACCATTCTGTGTCTACCATTCCAGGAGAAGACCAGCATGCAGAGATTGCTAGTTGATGTTTGTTTATCAAATTTTATAAGTCAGATGTATTTTCAGTCTCTGTTACCTCTGTTACTACATTTCTGTTGAATAGTTCTTGTGATATAAGGAGAACAAATTAAGAAGGGAGGGTGAAAACAGAAAACTATTTGAAAAACTGAAGCTATGAAGAACAGCAGTTCTCAACATTTACGCATATGGCTTTGCTCAGTGTAAGTAAAAAGGATTGGAGGGAAAATAGACTGCATTCATAGAATCTTATTGCGAAACGAGTCTTCTCAATTAAGGAAAAAAAAAGTGGAAGTTCAACCCTCCTTTTTGAAATACTGTGGGGTATTATTTCCAACAGAACTTAAAAAGCGATAGTGGTGAATTCATATGTTTAGATTTTCTGTAAAGCATTTGATTTTATGCCACTGGATATTTTGATTAATAAACTAGAATGATATAAAATCAATATGGCAAGCATTAAGTGGATTTAAAACTGGCTGACTGATATTTTTCATTGTAACTGTAAATGAGAAATTATTTGCATTTCAGGTGTAGTTCTTCAGGGATTGGCTCTTGTCCATGGGCTATGTAACACTTTTAACAATGATCTGAAAGAAAACATAAAGTCATTACTGAAGAAATTCTCAAATGATACAAAGATGGCGAGAGTGGGAAATAATTAAGACAATTAAAGGATACAGAATAAGCTGTGTTACTGGATTCAAATTAACAATATTCAAAATAGCTAAATATAGGGCTATCTACTGTTTGAGAATGGAGTTCATTCTTCAGTAGGGAGAGCTCTTTCCCGAGGAGAATGTAAGACAAATGTACATCCTTTATTGTCTTGACACAGAACCAGTTGAATGTGAGTTCTTACTGTGAGGCAGTAGTTAAAAGGGCGAGTGAAAAGTGTGTGGGAGGAAAGAAATTTTTATTAAGAGTAAAAATCTTACAACATTCTTCTGTTTGTTCTTAATCTAGTGTGTAGTCCTATCTGCCTAGTTCTATTGCCTTTTGCTCAGTAAGTGGTGAGAAACTGAAATCGTTGTATGAGGATTGCTGCAAGATAGTTTTTACTTGGCTCCTCTGAGGACTGTTTTCAATTTTGAAGGCAATAACTGTGGCACAACTTGACATGCCATCAGGGTAAACAGGTACTTAAGTCTAGTGGAGAAGCACTGTAAATTGTAAGAGCTAGAAGTTGGATCAGTTTGGCTTAGGAAATAACTGTTCTTTCAACAGTTTATCACAGAAAGTTCCAAATCAAATCAAAATCAGATACACTGTTGTAAAAGATGATTAATTTCAATAGCAGTTGCTGCCCTGAAGTTGAGGATAATAATCACTCTTTACTTCTTACCTAGGTGTATTACATACAAGTGAATTGAAATTATTTTATATTTTATCTGTCTAAAAATATTTCATAGCAAAGATTATATTTTATGTCATTTTTAAATTGTTTTAAACAATTATAGCTGTCTCTATTATGTCAAAATATTTTCCATATTGCAGTTACTATTCCTGCAGTGACCATGGTGGTCATTTGACCCCATAATCAAGTGCAATGGCAAAGCACTCATGGCATAGAGCCATGAATGTGTTTCTGCTACCTTTGCTCTGTTACTGGTTTAAGTTGAGAGTCAAACAATTGCCATGGTTGGAGATGAGGCAGAAATGAACTCTTCCTTTTGGTGGCAGTTAGCTTAGATGTATCGTGAAATAATACTCTGTGTTCTATTCTCTGTAAGACTCCATCAGCTGTGAAATGCGTGGCAGAAACTGAATTGTGAGGGGAAAAGTGTCTCTGCATCCTGACAAAAGCAATCCACATGAAGTGCTTAGTCTGGCATCCTCTAAGGCACTACCAGTGGGTATTTGGTGGGGGATGGGGAGAGAGAGAAGGCAGGAAGGCTTTGGCAGTATGATTTCTGGTCCTTTTGCCAAATGCGTCAACTCAGACATTGACATCTTTGGCTTTTTAGGTCTTAATGTGAAAAGAGGCCTCTCAAGCTGAGCAGATTTTCAAAAAGACAGCTGAACGTTTTGAAAATCTGAATGACTTTGAAGGACAATAATAAAAACCTGCATGCATGAGAAGCCCTTACCCCATCTGCAGTAGTTTGGATTTCAGAATCAGCACCAGTAACCAATCAAGATGTTGTGAAAACCTGGAGAGTAGTTGATAACAAATTTTTTCAGTGGTGTGATTTTGATGCGAAGAATATCATGTGACTAGAAATACTTCCTTAATATCCCTTCCTGCTTTATTGTTTGTGACATTTATGGAAAGAAGCCTATTCTGGTATTCTTGAGCAGATTCTTGAGCAGTTAAACTGACAGGTCCTACCAGAAGCCTTCCTTTGATGGAATACCAAAAAAAGGAAATGCTATTCTCTGGTATCCTAACTCTGAAAGTTCTGTTGTAGGGTTGGGAAAACTATGTATGCCAAAAAAGTTAAGGGCAGAGCCCTGCAATAGAGTTTGAGGTGTGTTTGAGAGAATTTTGCTTTGCAGTGTAATGATGGCGAAGAGAAGCACTTGGCTCATTTGTAGAGACAGGATACCTTGTACGTGGCTGATTTTAACTGAAATAATGCTACTGATATTCAGAACTTTTTCTAGTTTATGTGATTTATTCTTTTTGGACTTTGTGGGTGTTGATTTAATAGAATATTTTCTTGCCTGCATTATTTTCTTCCTTTCTGAGAAGCTACAGAGCTATGGTTAGCAGACAGCAGTGTAAGGTGATATTTCACCTATAGGGTCTCCTTCTTTTACCGAAGATGTCAAAGTGTGCTTTATGGAATGAATGAGAATTTTTTTCCAGGTGCCTCACTGTTATAATTAGTAAATATATATGTTCCTCACATCTGCTCTTCAGTTCATCAATATGGAGTCTGAGGTTAGTGAGAAAAGTCCACGTTAACCTTCTAGTGTCCCTTCTGGTGAAATGTCATCATCTTAGTAGTTGTGTTCTTATACACAGCCACTGATCTTTGTCTATTTGTGTTCTCTAAGAGGTAATACAACCTAAGTGTAACCCATCTTTTATAATCACATCTACTTGTTGCACATTTGGGCTGCCTCTGTTGTTTTAGTTAATTCTAGAATTTTCCATGCAGAACAGGAAACTCTTTCCTGTTAAAAGAACCTACTTCAAGAGGAATATGTTCTCTGAGTAAACTGATGTGAAATTCCTCTGTTTCTGTCATCAGAGAACTTCATTTGGATGCCACACTGAAACAGGGTAAACTGACTTCCTCGTTGTCTAAGACTGTGAAAAAGCTGTAGGTCACTTGCCTGATAATTTCTGCTTCTGCATTTCTCAAATATGACAGGAGTAGCATTACTTGAAAGTATGGGAAAAGAATCCTAAGTCCTCAAGGCCCCAAACTGTAAAATTTACCTTCAGAAGATCTCTTATAATCGCTCACTTCAATACAACAGACAGTGCTGTCTCACTGAGCTCTAAATATGCAATTGGGATCCCTTTTATTGCTTTATGTAGGATGATTTTTGTAGTGCACTGTTTGCCAGTCATGAGGTTGCCTATGGCAGTCCTGCTACTGAAAGAATCTCCTAGGCTGCATTTTCGTATCTTTTGCAGTTATATTTTGTTCTTGAAAAGATCACAGTGCTTCACTTCTCTATCTTTCTAAGTTGCTTACTTGGTGTATCTTCATCTGCTGTTTGTTAGATTACAATTGTTTAATCCCCTGAGAAGATAAATGTTTCTAGAATATGTCATGCAAAAGCACTGTTGAACAGATAATTTCTTCCTCTGAGGTACTCTTGATATGCATATGCTGATATATTGCTGACTTCAAGATACCAGGTTTCCTTTCAAAGAGTCTGAAGCCAATTCTGATCACCGCAGCTTGCAGAGGATTATATACAGGTCACTTACAGGAGGATTTGGACTTGCACATATTTAAAAGGAAAGATGGCCATCTCACTGTAAAATATCTGTTCTCTTGAAATTTACTGGATGCACAACCTACAACATGCACAGTTTTCAAAGCAGGATGGGCTTTGAACTTGTATGATGCCAGTCTTTTCAAAAACAGGTGTTTTGTGCAGAGCATGTGTCGCTTGAGATACCTGGTTGTGTATTTATTTGAACAAGATTAGAAAGAAATATGACACAATATCAATACAGTGTTCATTTTGTGATCTCTTCTGAAGACTGTTCAGGGTTTTTCTGAAGCATAATAGTAGCCCTAATAAGACCTTTAGCTAACAGTAATTAGTAAAGAAGATGTCGGGCATTTAATCATAGTGTTGAACTTTCCTTAAAACAAGTTCTCAAAAATATTGAGAAAATGTTTATAAGTTCAGCATTTTTCTTCTTTTCAAAGCTGCTTGCTGTAATTGTGGGTGAAACTTGATGTTCATCAGAAAAAAAAATAAAAAAAAAAAACACAACTGTTGAGAGCAGAATATTCTAATGGTCAGGACAGTGAATCTTTAATGTACTTCAGGGTTATTGAAATTGTTTTGGGAGAATTGTGATGTATTTCCTTGATTTAAACAAAACAAAACAAATTCCCTTGACAAAGACTGCAAAACTTATTTTGAATATTGCAGGGATACACTGTTGCTTACTCATTCAGATTGTAGCTGAAATACTTGTAATCATGTAATCACACAGCCTTCCAGCCACTCTGTAGCATTGCTTGGGGTTGTTGTGGCCCAAGTGCAGGACCAGGGATTTGCTCTTGATGAACTTCCTCCCATTGGTCTTAGCTGTATAATGAATATGCAGTGATTCTGTGAGCCTTTTTGCAGGAAAAATAACACAGCTAGCTTGGTATCAACCAGTAGTAAAGTTAGACATTTACCCTCCTTCAATGAGTCAGCAAGAGTGACTTCATTTGCTTAAAATAATTTACCCATTGTACTGTTCTGGGTTTTCTTTACATAGTGAATTCTGAAGATGAAACAAATTTACTTTCTTTCTTTGACAATCAGTTTACTCTAACATTTGTCCTTTTTAGGGTCGTGTGATAAAAGGCTCTTACAAGTTCCATGCTATTATCACAACATTTGAAATGATTTTGACTGACTGCCCCGAGCTTCGAAACATTCCATGGCGTTGTGTGGTAATCGATGAGGCCCACAGGCTGAAAAACAGGAATTGTAAGCTTTTGGAAGGACTCAAGATGATGGATCTGGTAAGTGTGTACATCTTTTAAAATAAATAAATCTGCATTTTCTGCATTTTCGTTAGTCTCAATTTGCAGTTTCACCACAAACTAAAAGTATTGCTTCTTAAGTATTAAATGTTAAGAAGAGTGAGAGAATGCATCTTGAGAATCTTTAAATCAACTGGAAGCACGTTCATACATTGGATTTTGGTATGCTGATGTTTCATCAGGCTTTTCATTAATTTAAACCTGTAGTTATATGTATTATTTTAGATGAATTGACAGGTTTTTTCTTCCCCTTCTTACTTCTCATGTGACTTCTGTAATCACTTGTCCTTCAGTTTCTCTTCTTTACCTTGACATTTATTTAGAGGTATAATGTGGACTGCTGACTAAATACATCTGTGAGAGTTAAATTAATCTGAATTAAATCAGCTCTCATGTTAATTTGTTGTGTGGCCGTAAGGAACTGCTTTCAGGTTATGGAAGAGATTAAAAAGAAGGGAAATATGAGTTGATTTGTGATGTTTTCATAAATATATATGCACATTGTATGGATGAAATATGTAATACTAAGCATACAAAGAATAATGAGAAGATTGAGAAGATGAATTTAAAGCTATTCACTATTTTATTGGTCAGAAGATTCTTTAAAACTGTAGTATGAATGCAGTCAAGCTAAGTTAATACTTGGAATTCAAAAACCAGTAAAAATAAACATTGTCTTACACTAGCACTAGTGACCTGTAGGTTGCTTTCAGATTTTGTTTTCCTCATTGTTAAATAATATTTTTCTTGAAGAAGTCTTGAAGCTTCATGAAAGAAAGTTACTAAAAATATTGTATAGAACTTAATTTTATTATAGTTACTATTAAAGAAAAGCTGAGCTTACAGTTATGGCTATAGATGGAGGAACAGGACTTGTCACTTCAGTTCTTTCTCAGCTATTAAATTCATGTTTGATCTTGGGCTCATTGCTTAACCTCTCTGGGTGCCTCCTCTAAAGCAGCATGCAACTTCTCCTTTCATCTCTGTCAGTTTCATACTCTGCTTTGTGAGCACCTGAAGAGGTGAAGTATTTTTCTGAGCTAACTGAAGGAAGACCAAAACACTAGTTTATAAATGCCTGAAAAATAATTATATATAAAGTTGAGGCAAAAAGAAAACAGAGATTATACCTATGTATTAAAAAAAGAATGGATTTAAATGGATTTCTAGGCAACTCTGTCTTAATCTTTCAGGAGCATAAAGTGCTGCTTACTGGAACTCCTTTGCAAAATACAGTGGAAGAGCTATTTAGCTTGCTTCACTTTTTGGAACCAGGTCGCTTCCCATCCGAAACCACGTTCATGCAAGAATTTGGGGATCTGAAAACTGAAGAACAGGTAGACTGCCCTTACATACTTCTCTGTTTAGATATTGTGAATTTAATCATTCCATTGTATCTGAACTTTATTGCTTGTTTTTACAGGTAATATCTGTTTTCTTCTTAGATGACTGCAGTGGACTTATCCTTATTTTTGCTTTGTTGGAATTCATTTCGAGTTCTTTTTGCTTTTGGTTAAAATTCATTTTAACTTGTAACTGTTTATGCTGCTTTGACAATTGATCATAAGGAATTGAGTTCTCTTCTTTGACTGTCAGTATCAGAGTAAAGGGGTTGTAGTTTCTGTGGAGTGGATATCTGAGTTTTATCAATGACTTCAGTGCAAATAAACACATTTGAAATCTAGTTTTCAAGCAGCAACCAGAGGGAGATGCTTTCTTGACTGACTCAAGAACTGAGATTTCTCAAGCTGTCCAATAAAAGAAATGCATAAATCAAAGCAAAATGAAAACCCTTAATGCTACACGTTCTAAATGTCAAATGTAAATGACGGTCATATACAAAACTTTTTTTTCCCATTTATGTATGAAAATGTTTTTAAAAGTAAATAGGTAACAGTTAAACTACTGTAAAATCACTCATAGGATTTAGCTGAGGCATGACATCTTAATTTAGGCACCTTAATGTGGCTCTTTGCACCTTGTGGTAATCTAACCTCGTGACTGCGTGTGTTTTTGTGTACAACTTTGTCTTGGTTCTGTCTGAAAACTCCCTAGTTTCTTGAATTTCTTACTTTTGAGAGCTTGAAGTGGTTAACTTTCTTTGAGATTATCTCTATTATAGGTAATTGTCTAAATTTAAAACAAACCCAAAAACCACCCGATTCTTTCCCAGCCCCTTACCGTCTGGACAATCGCTGCGTGTCCTGCGGGAATCGTAAGGGTACGTTTCCACAGATTGTGCAGGCAGTTGCATGTCAGTCAGCCTGGACTCTGACCTGATTGGAAGTGAGCCAACTGTGATCCAGAAGCCATGTACTCCTGTTAATATAGTGTTTGAGCTGGAGTTAATATATCCTAACTCTCAACATAGCTTCTGTCTGGCCAGCTCAAAATGTCAGCGGAGCAGAACTGGAAATTTTTGATGTTGTAAGTGAAAATATAACTAAAATAATGCCTTGAGTCGTCAGCAGATTTGGAACCTGGACTGCTTGGGCAACGAGTTTTGGAAGAAGTGTTGTTTTTGTGAATACATCGCTTTTGAAATTTGATTTTTCTTTTAAACGATGAAAGAGATGATATGTTAGCAGTTTAGGTTTTCTCCTTCATTCCTTGCAGTCCTGTTCCATGTGATTTTTTCACTGTTCATCTCTCTGGACTAATTTATCTCCTTTCTCTTGAAGTTGCGCTATTACTATAGGAATTATGTGAATTCAGGAGAAAGCTGCTTTTGTTCTTGTTTCTGTTACACAGCACCCTAGTAGGAGACGGTGATCAATTTCAGGGTAAATTTCAGCTCTTTAGCTCGGAGCTGATTTGTAGTTTGATGAGAGATGGAACTTTTAAAAACAACCTTAATGCCAGCTCATTATATGTGTATGGAGTATGCTTGAGTTTTTGTGTAAAGGCCATCATAAAGACTTGACCAAACTCAGCAAACCTTATAGAAGGAAAATGGACATTTTCCCTTTGCTTCGTAAAATGTATGTTGCCAAACCTGGAGACAAAAAAAAAAAAAAAAAAAAAAAAAAAAAAAGCATTTAAAAAAAATTACAGAAATATGGAATGTTCGTTTTGAGAACAGGCCTAAGTAGTTTTCTGCTTTGGCAAATGTCAAAAGAAATTAAATTATGTCTAAGAAATATCTAAAAGCAAGAAGAATTAGGAGCAGACATCTGAAGAGAAAAACAGTGTAATTCACTGTATTTAGTGGTTACAAGTTACTCTAAAACTTGTTCTTACAGTCAGATTTGCTGAGCTCTGCCTACTTAGGGTTAGCTCTGCACAATTGGTGTGCAGTACTGCCTTTGTCTAGAGGGATGGTTCTAAGGGAGATCATTGAATGACATGCACTGAACAGAAGTGGTGTTCACTAAACATTGACTTCAGAAATTTATGTCACAGTGCTAACAAGGAAATCTCATTTTCTAGGCCCTTGACAAAAGGCTTAAATGCTGTCTACTTGTGATCTGAGTTAAAAAAAAAATAAATAAATAAAGAGAGGGGGACTTCAGAATCAAGGAAACGTTAGAAATAGAAAAAATAAATATGTGAAGACTTAGAGCTTTGATTGTTGTTTATTTAATGTCTCCTAGGTGCAGAAACTGCAAGCTATTTTGAAGCCAATGATGCTGAGACGTCTCAAGGAGGATGTGGAAAAGAACCTGGCCCCCAAAGAGGAAACCATCATTGAAGTTGAGCTGACGAATATTCAGAAGAAATACTATCGTGCTATTCTTGAGAAGAATTTTGCGTTTCTCTCAAAGGGTGGAGGTCAGGCAAATGTACCTAATCTTTTAAACACTATGATGGAACTAAGAAAATGCTGCAATCATCCGTACCTTATTAATGGTAAGTTACATCATCATCTTTTCAGGAAGTATTTTTAAGACTGCTCAGTGTGTTAAAAATGTTGTTCTAGTTTCTTCGAGGCATAGTTGTTAATTCTTCTTTCCATAGAATTGGTATGCTGAAAGCAGCAAAAGTGACTGAGTGAACATACTGTGTATTTTTATTTATGTATTTTTAAATTAGAATAGTGACAAAACCTCTTAGGTTCTCTTATGTTTAGAAATCTGCTAGTCAGGACAGCATTGCTTTTGAAAACATCTGTACTGCTCTTTTCAAGGCTTGCTAGTCCTGTCAGAGTTGGTGTTAGTATCATATTAGTATTAGAATTTTTTCTTTCTGTTCTTCTTACAAAGAATACTTCAGTTATCATGTGGGTTCTTGGATGCTGCTGTATAAATGATGGGTTTTTTTTCTTCATAGTTGGTTAGCTACTACTTGTTGTCTTCCACAGGGTACTATGAGAGAGTACTAAACATTTCTGAAAAAAAGTAGTGAGTCAAGAAATGACTGAGACGTGCTTTTATGGACATGTGTAGTCAGTTCATTTTCATAATTTAATTGGACTGGAAAAAGGTCTATGTGAATGCTATATTAGATTTCAACAGTGAATACTCTGTTGCATTATGATGCTGCTATTGGTTTTCAATCAGGACTATCTATGGCAAACACTAGGTGATGAACCAGCTCTCTGAAGTACGCTGAACTGTGTATGTGTTGGTCAGATCAAATCTTCCCTTTGAAGATGTAGCATAAGCTTCTGTAGGTAGTTGTATGCTACTAGTTCCTTGTTTTCCATCTCCTCTTTGTTACTGTGTATGATTTATGCTGTCGCTGGTTTCATGCTAGTTACGAGTTTCATGGTGAAAGACTGTTTTATCATAAGCCATATGTGATTGCAGTTTTTATTGTGTGACTTCCATATTGCAGTGCTTGCTGTTTTTTTTTTTTTTTTAACATTTTTTGTTATGCTTAAACTGCTTCACCAAATGGCATCTAATTATATTTCATTTGCAAGTAATTATTCCAAAGGCACGATATAGAGATACTCCGAAGTACCTGAACTCAACCATGCTGGTGGGCTACTCAGTTTTTAAATTCAGATGAACATACAATTAAATTAGCTTTGTGGTTCTGTTAGAATTTATTTGTTAGTTCTTTGCTTCTAAGTTAATCTATTACATAAGTGGGTTTACCAGAAAACGGTTCAGGATGTTCAGGTTATGAGCTTCTGAACTCAGTGCCTTTTATGTTCCTTGGCTTTCAGTTCATTTTATTGTAGTGATTGTTTTTCCTTGTCTCATGTAATGAGGAATAAAGTAAATGTTTTTCTCTTATTTTGTTTTCTGAAATTAATGAGTAGCATTTGCAGCATTGCTTACAACGATTTTTTTTTTTCTTTTCCCAAGTCTCGTATCATTTAACTTATGTTAAAGATTGCTTAAATTCAAGTAGCTATATGGAAAACTTCAAGTATTTTTGAATGACTAATTTCAAGTATTTTTGAATGACTAATTTGAAGTATTTTTGAATGACTAATTTCGAGTATTTTTGAATGACTGGTTTTTTAACCCAAATAAAGGGAGGTGGAGATGTCTGTTGAGCTGTTTCCTTTTTAACATTTTTGTGACTTCATTTGGACTTGTTTAGTGGGATGCAGCAAAAACAAACAAACAAACAAAAAAAAGCAACAAAAAACCAGCAGGTGCTGTTAAGATTTGATGCAAGGGAGAAATAATAAATCCCAACTATTATTAGTGTGAAGGAGCAACTAAGTTCTTTTAATTCCAGGAGAGAAAATACTCTTATGTCCTGTAGTTGTCTGAGCCCTAGGTTTTATCTTGTTGATCAGTAATTAACATCTTTGTATTTACAGTGATGACACAAGTTTATTTCTGACAAGAGGCTTTGTAATGGCATAATGTTCAGTGGTATTTTCCTGAAGAGTAGCAAACTCTGGAAACTTGAGGCTTTTATAAAGAGGTCTTGGAGCCCTTCTCATTTTCTGCTGTATCTAAGGGTTTTGTAAACAAGCAGCAGTGCACGTGTATTTGCATGTGTAGACCAAGTAGAAGATTGTTTTGTTTCACATAGACTTAAGTGTTCTAGGTAATCTTCAGTTAAGAGACACAGCAGTTTGTATCATGGAAGTAGTATGACAGGAGTTGAATGTGGTGATTCTTTGTTTCTTGATCAGTAGATTAGCTTCGTGGTGCTGAGAGGAGAGTGGCTGTCTGCTGGAACTGTCCTTGAGCAGACTTCTAGAGGAAGCTGCTGCATTTTGTGTATTCTCCAGCCAAGATGGGCAAAGCATTGTCCTATTGGTTTTCTCAGAGCTGGACTCCTTGTTTCCTCCGTAGCAACCACTTAAGTATTTATACATCGTACTTCTTTCTCTGACTCCAAGAGACAACAGTGCCTCTGTACTTACACATGCTACACAGTACACTGGTGAACACTGTAAAGGTTTCTCACTCTGTTCCTTATGCTCTCTTGAGCCCAAGGAGTCTCTCTTAACTAAAAGATTTCCTGCTATCAGGAAAGCACATGTTCAGACTTCTTTTCATTCATTAATAAAAATCAAGAAAAGAAGTGTTAGAGGCATACGGGACACTACTTCAATTAGTGTAACAGGTACTGATACCTCTTACTTGGGTAACAGATGCTACACATTCATCACTTAGTTGCAATTGAAGTAGGAGTGAAAAGGAAAAGGCAGGCTTTTATGAGTTTTAGCTAGGATGGGATGGTTGGACTAGCAGATTTTCAGAGTTTGTGGTCTGTTATAGAAGTGAATCATGCTGAGACGAAATGCTAGTACTGAAAATTCATCATTCATAAGACTTGTTGCTAGGTTTGTTGTGGTGTGGTTGGCCTAGTTGGTTTGTTTTTGTAGATACTGAGTTTGCATACTGTATACAAGCTACTTGACAGCTTATTATATTCTGAAATTGACGAAGCTCAGTACGGAGTGAGATTACTGCCTTAATTTCTCCTGTTTTGCAAAATGTGGGCTAATATGAATAAGGATAGCTTGAAGGATTGTCTAATTCTATTTTCATGTGGGTTTGTTTTTCTTATGTGCAAACTATTAGGATCAGTAATACTTGAAGTGCAGGGAATCCTTGTAAAAGTACCTTCAGGTGAAAGCACTGAATTTTGTGAAGGTGAGCAGTGCAAGTAATAAGAAGCTGTCAGCCTGCATAGGGTGGCATCTAGTTAAGACACCATGTTACAGTAGGTAAGGAAGCAGTGATCACACAGTGAGGCTGCATTTGCCTATTTGCTTACAGGCATCTTGTTAGAGTTGGGATATGGGAGAGATTCTCAGTGGATGCCTATCAGTAAGCTTTTCTTTCTCCCTGCCCCAACTCTCCCACCTTTCTTTGTGTTACTCAAAAGTAGTGTTGATCTTGGATGTTATAAGCTACATTTTCTTTAAGAAAATAACAAATAAAAATCAGAGGACCTGAAAAAGTCATCCCCTCAAAAGGTTTGTCTGTATATGAAATAAGCTTAGGATGAAGATTCCTAGTCTTCTGTATAGCCAAGAATAGTTATCTGATAACGCTTAAATAATATGTTGTATGTAGAAGTGACACTAAAATAGGATAAAAGCGTATGAGCATAAGAAAGGCATAAACTTGTTCTGTATCAGCAGGTAATGTGCAGTACAAGGAACATTTGTTTCTATGTTTTTACTTCATATGAAAAGGGGATGTCAAGAAAGAAATTTTGACTAGTTCTGGAAAGAACATATATGTTGAACAGCTTCATAAAGCTGAGGAGAAATTAGATGTTCAGTGAGGAGAAAAATCTAAATAGATGATAAAATACAATTTCATACCGCTTTTTTTTTTTCCAAGGAAATCAGCTTTTTCACAGTTTGGTTTTTGATTCTCTAGCTAGTTATGGAAGGGGTAGATCCAAGTCTTGCTTGTGATTAACTTTCATTTTGGACATCAAATTTGGTTTGTATTCCTTACATTTTCAAACAAGAATTTTCTTCCATGTTGAATTTTGAAAAGGACATTTAACAGTTGGAATAGTTCTTACCTTTTCATCTTCTTTCATAATGTCTGATTAAATTGTGTTCATTAAATGATTATATGAAATTATTTTGAAAAGATTTTACTCCCTTAAAAATCGAATGAATACTCAAAGTGGTTTTTTAATTACACTGTGTTTGTGTGTATGTCTGCTTTAAATTTAAGACTAATATTTTCTATAAATGTTTATTCACATAGTGTTTAAAGCATTCCTGTACTCTCTATAGGGTATTGAAGGCAAGCTCATTGTTTATTGATAAAATCCTCTGCTGTGTTCATGTATTGCTGTCCAATCTTTGCAGGTGCTGAAGAGAAAATTTTGGAAGAGTTTAAAGAAACACACAATGCCGACTCTCCAGATTTTCAGCTCCAGGCAATGATCCAGGCTGCTGGCAAGCTAGTACTGATTGACAAGCTGCTGCCAAAACTGAAGGCTGGTGGCCACAGGGTGCTTATCTTTTCCCAGATGGTGCGCTGCTTGGACATACTGGAAGACTACCTCATTCAAAGACGGTGAGAGCAACAATATAATGCAATTCTAAATAAACAGTGCGTTCCTCAGTGGCCACAGTATTTAACCTGTGAGTGATCTTTATTGTAACGGGATGAAATTCAAACTGTTACTGTATTTTCTGGAGTAAGCTGACTACAAGTTGCAAGTACTGAAGTTTTTCTTTCAGATGAGTAGAAAATGACCTCCGAGAGGCTTTGATGACTCCTCCTAGTTTACTAGTTAGTTAAATGTTTCAGTTACTCTTGGAGTTATTTATTGTTTTTCTGCTTAACCCCAAGTATTTATTTCATTCCTTACAGTGAGAACCTCATTTTTACTGGAGGGTATAAAGCAGGAGACAAGATAGTATATGTTCCACTGAAGAAGTTGTTGGATACAACACAGCAGTCACTCAGTTTGTTGCAGCTATTTTGAGAGTACAGTGGCATATTTCCCCCTTTTTTTTAATTATTTTTTTTTTTTTTTTTTTATTTTAATTGTATATTTTTGAAAGAAATAATGCCAGAAATAAGAATATTTGCAGTAAAATTCTCCTTACAATGCATCTTTATTTCAGGTACCCATACGAACGAATTGATGGCCGAGTAAGAGGCAACTTGCGTCAGGCAGCTATTGACAGGTTTTCAAGACCTGATTCTGATAGGTTTGTTTTCCTGCTGTGTACAAGGGCAGGAGGCTTGGGCATTAATCTTACTGCTGCTGATACCTGCATCATTTTTGATTCAGACTGGAACCCTCAAAATGACCTCCAGGTAATATTACAAGGAATGATTCAGTTGAAAACTTCTTGTTTATTTCCTGTGAAATTTTGTTCACCTGCAAAAGAAATTGCTGTTGTTTACTCAGTTAAAAATATATATATATATATATATATATATATATATATATACATACAGATTATTATTTATATTGAAAGTAATAACATTTAAAGTAAGTTTTCTATATTGATTTTCTTTTCTTTTATCACTTGTAACTGAGTATCTGTCTTGTTTCATCAGGCTCAAGCACGATGTCACAGAATAGGACAGAGCAAATCAGTGAAAATTTACAGGTTGATTACAAGGAATTCTTATGAAAGGGAAATGTTTGACAAAGCTAGCTTGAAGCTTGGCCTTGACAAGGCTGTGCTACAATCTATGAGTGGAAGAGAAAATGCTACAAATGGGGTAAGAATTAATATATTAAGATGCATGATCAACAAATCATATAAATGTATAACATTTTCATTTCTTGCTTATATCTTAGCTGGAGAATGATGGCTTTCAGGTAGAATATGGCATATATTTTAAAGTGGGGTTAATTAAGGGCAAGGCTACATGAACTGGCTCAGCCTATCTCATGCATCATTAATTGCCAAAAGCAGACAGGTAGAATCATGTTTCCTCAGTTCTCATTCATTCTCATCATTCTACACTTCACATAGTGTTGATTCTTACAGTTTTTGAGCTTCTTGCAGGCTGCCAATCCATCCATACTTTTTGTTTATGTTCATGTGCTTTAGCCTTTTTTGCTTGGGCCTTTTCTCAGGTTAGGAAGTTAAGTATGTTCCCAGGAGGAGTTTAGCAGTCACTGGAGCTAAAGTAAGCAGATTCAATGACAATGAATTATTAAATCATTTAAACCACTCATATAACTTCACCCTAAGAATGTTGTTGTTTGCATTCTTCTTTTAAAGGTGACTTCAGCATGAATGTTTAATTGACCAACACCACATTATGTTAGGAGTACAGTTCTTAAAATACGAAGTAAAAAGGCAATTGATGTCATTATGTTGTTAGATATAAACATTGACTAGTGTTAAAACAACAAAACAACTGTCTCTCTTACATGTTACAGGTGCAACAGCTTTCTAAAAAAGAAATAGAAGATCTTCTTCGAAAGGGAGCATACGGTGCTCTGATGGACGAGGAGGATGAAGGGTCTAAGTTTTGTGAAGAGGATATTGATCAAATTCTCTTAAGGCGAACACACACAATTACTATTGAATCTGAAGGAAAAGGCTCAACATTTGCAAAGGTGCATTGGCATTTGGAGGAAAAATAATAAAGTTGTGACCACAATAGATGGAAGTAGTACTGAATCGCCTTCAGTGTCAATTGAGCTTTTCAGTACACTTTTTTCAGTTTTCTTCCTCAAAACTGTTGGGACATCTGTATTTCCAGTTAGACAGTTGATAGACTCCTTTTTTTGTTTCTTGACAATGCTGTTTTGGAAGTCCTAAACATTGCACTTCCAAATGAAAATAGATATCTTTATAGTGTGTGGTTAAGAAATCAATGCATGTTTTTTCATGTCTTCTAGGCTAGTTTTGTTGCATCTGGGAACAGGACAGACATTTCCTTGGATGACCCTAATTTTTGGCAGAAGTGGGCGAAGAAGGCTGAACTGGATATTGATGCTTTAAATGGAAGGGTAAGAGCTTTATGACAGTACTCAGTTCATTTAAATTGAAGATTTTTCTCCTCCTTAATTTCTGCATTTTCACTTTTCATTTTAGAATAACCTAGTTATTGATACACCAAGAGTAAGAAAGCAAACCAGACTCTACAGTGCAGTCAAAGAGGATGAACTGATGGAGTTTTCAGACCTGGAAAGTGATTCTGAAGAAAAGCCTAGCACAAAGCCCCGTAGGCCTCAGGACAAATCACAGGGTTATGCAAGAAGTGAATGTTTCAGGGTAGAGAAGAACTTGTTGGTTTATGGGTAAGAATATACAGATTAAATAGTGTGATTGTGGATAAAAACTGAAAATATGTAAATTACATATAGTAAATACTCTTTCCTCTTTTTCTTGTTCACATGCACTCTGTATGCTTTTTACATCAGTACTATCTATACTTACCTGTGAGATTTTAGATTGCTTTATATATAGGGATATATATGTATTTCTTAGCTTAAAGCGTCCACACAGTGGATACGAGCTCACTGATAAAATATGTAGCATTGTGATGACAGAATATTTGTTTCTGGCTTCTTATATTGTAAAGAATACCAGAATTATTGAGACTTCATCTTTCTTTTCTAAGTATTGTGGAGAATAACAAAGTGCATTTGTAAAGACTGGTATGGTTGTGAAATCAAATCAATTAAGAGCTTTTTAGCATAGTTCTCATGTTTTGATGGTACTTAATTTCAACTAATTGATGCCTTATCTTTCCCATTGGATATGCCAGTCTGAATTTTATCTCTTTGCAAGCAAGTAGCTGTATTTAACTACTGTTCCAATGGGCTTCAGGAGAACTGGCTTTACTTCTAGAAAGCTGTGTGCAACAGTCACTAATAATGAATTTCAGGATCAAAATAAAACTGATTCCCCAAATCCCATGACTGTAGGAATTGGCTGAATTTCCTGTTCGTAGTTTACTGGGACCATTAGAGTTAAACATATGTACTTTATTATTTTGAGTGTAGTTCAATTGCAGCTTTACGAGCAGTGAACTTATTGCCTGTTCTGTAAAATAAACATTCTTAACTCTTAGGTGCTGTAAGCAGGATTCCCCAATGTAACCTGCAAACGCAGAATGCATTAGTGGTAATACAGGAGGTCCTAACTTGCTTGGCACCAGGAGTTAAATTGAAAGTCACAAATTAAAATACCAGTGCCCTAGCTGTTGTATTGAACATATTTTTCTTGTAGCTGGGGTCGTTGGACTGACATCCTCTCACATGGGCGCTATAAACGTCAGCTAACAGAACAAGATGTGGAAACCATCTGCCGGACTATCCTGGTATATTGCCTTAATCATTACAAAGGGGATGAAAATATCAAAAGTTTCATCTGGGATCTGATCACTCCAACTGCAGATGGGCAAACTCGAGCTTTGGTTAATCATTCCGGTATGTCTACCACAATCAAATAATGATGCTAGTAAATAGGAAAGAATTGCTTCAGTTGTGCTATGTCTTTAGTTTAAACTATAGCTGTTCTGACATGTTGTAGGATCTTGTCAGATTTTATGAGTAAGGTGGGCTTTGACTGGGTCAGTACTTAAAGGGGAAGTCACCCTCAGATGCTTCGTAGAATGCGGTGCTCTTGCTCATAAAGCAGTTTGAATAAATATTCTGACGTAGTTTTTAAGTATCGCCTACTGCTGGAGTTAAGCTCTTTCAAATGGCCATAAGTCACAAAGCTCGTTTCCTTATGGCCATTCAGATTCATGAGCGTTTTTAGAAGAAATATTGATATGACACCAATTTCTGGATAGTTCTCTGAATTTTTGAAATCTTCACCCCTAAATTTGCATGGTAGTTTTGGTTGATTTTGTTATTCACAATTTCCAGATAAATTATGTTGTGTTCAGTTTTTGATTGCCCACAATGGAACTAATACAGCAGTGATGCTTAGCTGTAAATGTGTGTTTGTAATGCAGTTTGGTGTGAGAGCTTTTCTATTCAGACTGTATGAGATATAACTGGGGATTTGTATAGGCCTGTCTGCGCCAGTGCCCAGAGGGAGGAAAGGCAAGAAAGTAAAAGCCCAGAGTTCACAGCCTATGTTTCAAGATGCTGATTGGCTCACCACCTGTAATCCGGATGTATTATTTCAAGAAGACAGCTATAGAAAACATCTCAAACATCATTGTAATAAGTAAGTATTATTATTTCATTTAATGCTTTTTATTATATGTTTTTCAAAAGTCTGTGACTTCTTTGGAATGTTTTTAATAGAGCATGGGGCTATTTAATAGGATGTAGAGAGCATTATTGCTTCTAATTTGGGGGATAATCATTTTAGCAGATATCTGGATATTTCTGTAAGCTCTTTATGATTGATCCATTCTTAAAACATTTATGAAGAAATGTGTTTTCTACTTAAATAAGAATGAAATCAAATATGTGATTATTCTTAATAGCATATGGGGAAAAGAATATACCCTCACTTAAATCTATTTCTCTTGACAACTCAACATCCTGCTCTGCTCTGCACTAGCATGGATTTACCTTGAGCACTGTGAGCTATTTTGAGCACCACAATATAAGATGAAAACGAAATTATTAGAGAACATCCAAAAGAGGTCTGTGAAGATGGTGAGGGGTCTAGAGGGCAAAGTGCATGAGGAGTCGCTGAGTTGGTTTGTTTGGCCCAGAGCAGAGGAGGCTGAGGGGATGAGGCCTTGTAGCAGACTACAGCTTCTCACAAGGGTAGCAGTGGGGAAGCTCAGATCTCTGCACTCTGGTAACAGTGACAGCACCAGATAGAACGACATGGAGCTGTGTCAGTGGAGAGTCAGGTTGGGTGTTGGGAAAAGGTTCTTCACCGGAACCTTTGCTTAATTGTTGAATGAATGTCTCTCGAGTGCATCTCTTCTTTGCTTTTGGTTTGTAATATCTCGGTTGTTTTTGTGTCAACTTCTTTCAAGCTACGGCAGGGGAGATTCAGGCTGGACATGAGGAAGTATTACTTTTCAGAAAGGGTGGTCAGGCACTGGAATGGACTGCCCAGGGAGGTGGTGGAGTCACCGAGCCTGGGGGTGTTCAAGGAAAGGCTGGATGTTGTGTTGAGGGACATGGTTTAATGGGAGCTATTGGGAATAGGTGAACGGTTGGACTGGATGATCTTTTAGGTCTTTTCCAACCTTGGTGATTCTATGATTCTATGATTAAGTGTTCTTCATTGGGTATCTAGCATACACGTGTAAAGCAGTGTCAGTGAAAAGTTGTCTTTATGCTTTTAGTATGTATTGTCTTATTAGAAGTGTTTATTAGAAAGGAATTATTGATTTCAAAAGTATCTGTGGCCTGTCAACAGAGGGAGTGTGATGTGAAGGAGATAAGACATTTAAAAGGTTTATTAGTCCATTTCTGGATGCTAACCAAGCTTAATTTGCAGCTGATGAGAACAGATATTTAGAGAATTATGTTAGCAAGTGCGCATGCAAGTGAACTGGTTCTTGACTTTTTTTTCTGAACTGTTACTCAGTTCAGTTATTACATTTTACTTCCTCTTAAAATAATTAAATTTTTTCCTGTAACATTATTTTGCTGTCACAGGTAACATGTCCTCATTACTTGTTATATCAGTTATATCAGCCTTAAACTCATTTTTAAAATTGTGCTGCTGAAATAATACAGTAGAACAATTAGAAGGATCAGGAAGGCTGATGTATCACTGTATCAAATACAAGAATATTTTCAGTTGCTATCTTTTTTCCTTCATTTCCTAGACCCATCAGGACTAAGTGAATTGTAGAAGCAACATGTTTAGCCCAGGTAAAATCAAGCTGAGGTAGAAGCTAATTGAAAGTATGAGTAATTTCCTTCATCAGATAGCAATATCTACTGGATAAGTAAGAACAGGGTGTCCTGTTCTCATGTGTAACATGCATGCTGCTTTAATGTGGAGGACTTCTGAAAGGTACAGAGAACCTCTGCATTTTGGTTTAGTTTTGTGGGTTGTTTTTTTTTTCCTCTTCCTTCGGCTTGATATAACATTTGTTATCACTTAATACAAAGATGATAGAGACCATCTTAGAGACCAGCTTATTTCTATAGCCAAACATAGAAAAGAGGCACCTTACTGGTCCAGGTTATCAAACTTACAAAAAAAGCATGTCTGACATGTTTTGAATTGTACAAATGACCTTGATTCAAATCCCTACTCTTCCAAGGACTACTTGGGTAACATGTGTAAAATTGGATATCGCTTCTGTTGCATCAGATCTCTAGCAAGGAGTTCTCAAAACTGGTGGTGGTCTAAATTTTTCATGCAACTGGGTGATCAGATTACTGCCTCCCCAGTTACCCTTACTGCTCCGAGAGCAGCAATTCAACAGTAGCCGTGATGGATTTGGATACAGGGAGAAGGCAGGCAGAATAATTTCCATTTTAGCTGGTGCTGATTCTACTTCATGAACTAGGCAGCAGGGGGTGCCCTGAATTGGGTAAACATGGGAGAGCTTGATTATTTTCAGGGAGACATTTTTTCTGTAGTGATGACCTCTTTTCTGCTCTCCTTGAAAATCCAGTCTGCCATTCTCTCTCCTGCCAGCTTAAGCTGTTGCTGCAACACCTGACAGCGGTCCCAAAAACGACTGTAGTGTTGCAGGGATGGGAAAAAATAAACATGGGCAACGAAGACTTTTCACTTCCTTATGGCTCTTATGTTGTGTGCAGGTAAAATTAAATAGCAGTTTGAACTATAGAGAGTAAAAATAGTTAATATTTCCTAGGGGAAATGGGGGATTATTTTTTTTTCCTCCCATTCTCGGAAGCAAAAAGTTGTATAATCTGAAAAACCTGACATTCCATATTGAGGGTTTATTGTAAGGTAGTAAAACCAGATTTTATATCTCGTTTATTCCTACAACTTCTGATGTGCTTCCAAAAATGGTATTAAGGCAGCAGCTGAGGAAATTTTATGAGATAATGAAGCAGAACAGTTACTGAAAGCCATCTGCTCAGTTGTTTACAAACTTGCTTCAATACTTCAGAGGCAGTGGTAGAGTACGTGTCTAAACTTCACAAGCTGCACTAGGTAGAACTAAATGAAATGCGCCGGGGCTGGGCTGCGCTCGGTCCCTCTCTGTGCAGTGTAAGCGGTTGCCAGGCAGGCCTGTTGGAAGCCAGCAGAAAGCACCACACAGAGGTGATTATGTGCCACCATCTGTCACGCTTCAAGCCTACCATACAGCATGGCTAATCAGCCTTGGCAGGATGATGGATGAACAGCAGCAGCTGCCAAAAGCCACTGTTGGCAAACAGTCCTGAAGTTAAGAACTTTTTCCCCCCTCTGCCTTCCTCTCCAGGGTCCTGCTGCGTGTCCGCATGCTGTACTATCTACGACAAGAAGTTATAGGGGACCAAGCAGACAGGATCTTAGAGGGTGCTGACTCAAGGTTAGTGCAAGTGCAGGTTTATTTTTTTGCTTTATGATGCTGGCTTATGTAAAGCACATGTACTATAATAATTTTAGCATTTAAAGGTTGTTGTGCTTCCTGTTAAATGGGTTTGCAAGCCACATTATTATTTTATCAAATGAGGTGGGTAGTTTTCTTGCAGGAGGGAAAGTGTGGGAAATTACTGATATGGATTTTTCAGTATTGCTAATATTGAAGAATTATTGTAACTCAATTTTAATTTTTCTTTTTAAAAAATACTAAGATTGTAAATAAGCGTGTTTGGGTAACCACTGGCATTTTACTCCTAAAATAGCCTAATATTTTTTAATTATTTCCTTTTAAACAATCCTAAGTAATTTTCCACGCGTTCTAATTGGTGTTGTTTTTTCCCCCTCAAGAAGCATATTTACAAAGTGGTGTGAACCATTTCTCTTTTTTTTTCTAACGTTTTTGTCCAGTCATCTTTGCAAATGTTTATAATGCTGTCTTTATAGTGAAGTAGATGTGTGGATACCTGAGCCGTTCCATGCTGAAGTTCCTGCAGACTGGTGGGATAAGGAGGCGGATAAATCCCTTTTAATTGGAGTATTCAAACACGGTAAGTGGTGTCTCACTCTGAACAAAACTCAGTTGTAAAGCTTTCTGCGTGTAGGACTGTTCAGTCATAATATTAACAAGTATTGTTCCAAAGAACTGTTGGCTTGTATCTCCCTTTTTTTTTTCTTGCCTGCATTAAAAACCTAATATGAGCTGTAAATATCAGATGCTGTTTTTAAATGTTTGCAGAACATTTGAGAAGAAAACATTACTTTCTTGGCTGTAAATAAAACAAAGCCATATTTGTTTAAGTAATAGCCAAATAGTAAGATAGATCTCCATAAACTTTGCTTCCAGCACTGCTTCACTTGCTAACTCTGCCAACCAGTGTCAAAGTGGACGGTGGGCTTAACCTCTGCTATTAATCTGTACAAGTGCCTCCTGGGCTTTGTTCCAAGCAATATTTCACAAATGTCAGTGTTGAGAACTCCCGGCTCCCTTGAGTGGGATGCAGCCTTGTTAACTTTGAAAGGCTGGGGATGCAGAGCTGGCATGATATATACAGTGAGCGATTCCTGATTATAATCCCAATTCTCTGGAGGTCGCAGAGGTATTCTCAGCAGCCCAGCCTGACTAAAGGGGAGAATGATGGCTTATAAAACCTTTCATGATTACAGTTTGGCTTGAGGCTCTACAGCAGTTAGGAGCAGTGTGTTGTAGTACAAATCCTAATTGAATTGTGCTGTTCTGCCTATGTACAGCAGCTCTGTTTTGTGGGCTCAGCTGAGGCAAGTCTAGTCTAAAAATCATTTTCCTGCAGTGCACTGTTGGGATCTGCCATTTTCCATCTAGTCAACTTGGGCAGTAAAAAAGCAAACAGCAGTTTGAAAACCATAGAGGGAACAGTGTCATCTTACTGACATGCATCATCCTAAACCTAATAAGACAGGTTCGTTGGCCTTACGTATAACCCATGTATACAGCATTTTCACAGCCTACACTGAGGGTTCCAGCAAGGCTAGAGCTATAGAGAGTGTGTGTGTGTGTGTGTGCTTCCATTCACATCTGTATGTTTGCAGTAGGGAGTGCTAAATATGGAGAACCACTGTAAGAGTTATGTAGGAATCTTTATAGAAGTGTGGGGTTAGTTTTGGTGAAAGATTGAGATTACATTGAAAAAACTATTCAATTTTTACTGTTTGTTAATGCTGCTGATGTTAAAATGTTTCTGTGCTGATGAAATTTATCAATATGAAAAACGTTATTACACAAATGAAAACTACTGGGGAAAAAATGCATCATTTTTTATTAAACAATTCCTTTAAAATCACAGTTACAGCTCTTTAATTTTATTTAAAAATAAATGAACCCAGAAAATTGTATTTCATTACCTAAACTGTTCTTTTTACAGTTGATCGTAGCTTTAAAAAAAAAAATAAAATAAAAAAAATTGCTTCCCACTCTGCAGGTTATGAGAAGTACAATTCCATGAGAGCTGATTCAACACTGTGCTTTCTGGAACGGGTTGGCATGCCTGATGCAAAGGCCATAGCTGCTGAACAGAGAGGGACAGACATGTTAGCAGATGGCGGTGATGGGTAAGGACGACATGAAAAAATTAATAAACTTTATCAGCATTGTATACGTTGGCACGAGTTCATGTGTCATATTCTGCTTACATCTTGCCTGAGGATCTGAAGTGATCACATAATGTAAAAAGTACGTAAAATTGCTTACACGGTTGAGCATGAAATATAAATGTGTAGCTTGGTACACATTCTGACGGCTTTTGTAGCTTTTTTGCTTTTCTTTCCAGAAAAATTACCTTTCAAAAACAATGTTTATTTAAATTGTTTATTTTTAATATTTTTTTAGAGGTGAATTCGACAGAGAGGATGAAGATCCAGAATATAAGCCAACAAGAACTCCTTTCAAGGATGAAATTGATGTAAGAACTTCAAGTTTCTGTAATTATAAGTATTTGTAAACATAACTGACACTCCATGTTTATCCTAATGTGTAATACTTATGTTTGTGAACCACCAGATAAACACGCCTTACAAAGATACTTTTCTGCTGTATTTGAAAGATAACATCTTTTTTTTTTTTTCTGCAAACAATAACATATGGTCAAAGCTGAAAACTAAAATAACTTCTGTCTTCTCCCAAAGGAATTTGCAAACTCACCTCCAGAAGACAAAGAAGAGTCCATTGAAATCCACCCAAGTAAGACTATACAAAAGAAATTTTGAAAAAGCAAAAATAGACCACTTAGGCAAAGCTGGACTTTTTATTAGCACATGAAGAAATGGGTTGTGTTTTGGGAAAACATCACGGTAAACTTCTTAGTGCCAAATCTCTTCATGCTTCACGTGTTTCAAAACAATTATTTACCATGTTTGAATAATCCCTCGTTAAGGCTTTCTGGGTTTCTAATTACATAGTAGAAATTGTGATGATGAAAGCTGGATGTTTCTTTATGCTGCTGCTGATGCTTTTGCTGAGATAATCTTGACGTTGCTGTAGATAAGTTCCTCGGCATGAAGGAAAAGTGCCAAGTTTAAGTGAAAATAATGAAGTGGTAAATCATAAGCATAGGTGTTTTCACAGAGATGGAATGACCTTCTTAGTAACGCATTTAAAGCTCTACTGCATTAATTTAAATACTTAAAGGTATTCATAATATGTTTGCATTCATAACATTGAATAATAATACCTGATAGTTATCTTTAAATGCTTCACTGACATTTGAGTTTGTGGAGTCAGATGGTTTTATTCTATTTTTTTATTTCCTACCAGTGTAGTTATCCTGTTTCTAATTTGTTCTGCACCAATATTAATGAAGCGTATGTTCTTATCTGATCAGACAGGAATCCAGTTTTAGCCTTAGAAACTTTGAAATGTTTAGTGGTGGTTTTGCAGTGCACAAATACTTCTCTATTCTCTAGACAAGCACAGTGAAAGCAATTCTGAGTTAGGCCAACTCTACTGGCCCAACACTTCAACCCTGACTACCCGTCTGCGTCGCCTCATTACTGCCTATCAGCGCAGCTATAAAAGGCAACAAATGAGGCAAGAGGCACTAATGAAGACTGACCGCAGGAGACGTCGGCCTCGGGAAGAAGTGAGGGCACTAGAAGCAGAAAGGGAGGCTATAATAACTGAGAAACGACAAAAGTGAGTTTTCTCAGTGATATTTTCCTTTAAATCTCAATTAACTTTGTGTGTTGCCAGTATTTCTGCTTTGAAAGTATAAACTAAATGGGCCTGGGGGTATCCAAACTGTTCGGGCTCGCCTTTAACTAAGTGGCCTGTTTTTTTCCTTCTTCCTTGAATAGATGGACAAGAAGAGAAGAAGCCGATTTTTATCGTGTAGTGTCTACTTTTGGAATTATTTTTGATCCCATAAAACATCAATTTGACTGGAATCAATTCAGAGCATTTGCCAGGCTTGATAAAAAGTCCGATGAAAGCTTGGAGAAGTATTTTAATGGCTTTGTGAATATGTGTAGACGAGTGTGCCGAATGCCGGTCAAGCCAGATGATGGTAAGTTTTACTGACTGCAGAAATGGATGTGACTACTAATAGATGGCACCGTTATTGAAACTTGATTCCTAGGCGCAATGATTTACAGATGGGCGTACATCTAGTTAATGTTAAACACTACAAACTGATGTCATTGCAGAGCCTCCTGATCTTTCTACTATGATTGAACCGATCACAGAAGAACGTGCTTCCAGAACTTTATATCGCATTGAGCTGTTACGGAAAATCCGTGAGCAGGTTCTTCATCACCCACAGCTGGGGGAGAGGCTAAAGCTTTGCCAACCAAGCTTGGATCTGCCGGAGTGGTGGGAGTGTGGTAAACATGACAAAGACTTACTGATTGGTGCTGCTAAACATGGAGTCAGTAGGACAGATTATCACATTCTGAATGATCCTGAGCTGTCTTTTCTTGAGGCCCACAAAAACTTTGCTCAAAACAGAGGGGCGGGTAATGCAAATACTGTCTCTTCTCTACACCCTGTGGGTGCTGGCTGCAGTCAAACACCACCTATTGTCCCATCCACACCAGTACAAGAAGAAAAAAGTACAGAACAAACGGAGTCTAAAGTTGAAGGATCTGAAAATCCAGCAGCCAAAGAAAAATCTGATATCAAGGAAGAAACAGATATTGCTGATAAAGACACTAAGCAGGATTGTGATGCTGAGGCTGAGACTGGCTCTGTTAAATGTGAATTGAAAGATATAGAAATGAGTACAGACGTAGACCCAAAATCAATTTCTGAAAAAGGTTCAGAAGAAGATGAAGAGGAGAAACTGGATGATGATGACAAATCAGAAGAATCCTCCCAACCTGAAGGTAACACTTTGGTCAGGTCAGTCCTATGCTCTTAGCTTAGCATGAGTCCTACGTCTGTTCAGACTTGTGCCAGCTGGTAAGTGGCATGCATGGAGCTGTTTTGGAGCCTCGATAGGCTATGTTTAGCAGGTTTCTCTTCTTTTCCATGTATCTAGGTGGCCAGATAAACTATAAAAAAACAAAACAAACAAACAAAAAAAAAACACCAAACCATAAAAGCTAAAAAAAATCCATCTTTAGTAGGATTTTTTTTTTTTCCCTGTGAGGGATGATTTCCAAGATAACTTACTGATCTAATAAGCACAATTTCTGTTCCAAGTGCAGAAGACTAAGACTCTGTTGTAATAATGATAGAACAGAAGCCTGAGTTAGAAGAATGGTATCAAACATGCTTGTCTTAATCTATCTATTGAGGCTGACATTGGATGGTTGGGAACTTTTGCAGTTAATTCTTGGTCATGATTATTGTTCAGCAGGAGCAGTTTCTCAGGGTAAGAATTTTGATGAAGAAAGCAATGCCTCTATGAGTACCGCAAGGGATGAAACGCGCGATGGATTCTACATGGAAGATGGGGATCCTTCTGTGGTCCAGCTGCTTCATGAGAGAACATTTGCCTTTTCTTTCTGGCCTAAGGTTGGTTGCGGGTAGGATGGGATGCATTGTTTTCAGTACAGATAATGTGTGGGAAATGTGCTGCAAAAAGTGGTTTGTTCAGTTCTGTGCTTCTAGTGAACATGAGATTTATTCTGAGAATGATTTTTGAAATGGCTTTTTATTGTTCAATTGTGTACAAATTAGTGAAGGAAATGAACAGAATTGCTTTACTGTAAAACAACACTGCTGACAGACATGAGTTCCTTATAGACCTGCAACTGTCTGAGTGCAGAATGACACCTCTTATGCCGTTATTAATGGAAGCAAATTTATGACTTTGAATTCTGGATTTCGTCTGCAGTGCAGTCTGCAAGGGGAGCAGAGATTCTGCAAGATCACCTTTTCAGTTTGGGATGGGAAAAAGAGTACTGGTGACCTACATGATCTAAGCCATTATGTAATGTTGACAGATGTATTAAGGTGTCCTGTAAATACAGGCAGCAATTTTACATAGGATAAAGCTATATCTTATTTTGGTAGCAGTGCAGAAATATATCTAACACAATTTTTTATTTTTATTTTTATTTTTTAAATATCAAACTAACATCGTAATAAATCCGTACATAATTTAGTACTCTCCTTTGCAGTAAGGGCAGAGAGAGAAATAAAGTAGTAATAGTCTTAAGCTTACTAATCACCATAACAGGGCCATCTGGTTTGGGAGGGGGTGGGGTAGGGCGGGGGGGACCTTGCTCTTAATAGGCTTATTCCTGGAGAAAGCAAGCAGTCTGTTGCAGCTGCTGAGATTTGCTAGTGGCCTTTGCGCTGTTTTGCTGTTCAGGAAGCTAACTGGTGCTCATATTCCCTAACCAGCAGTATTTCTCATAGTTTTGAAGTTTCTACTACTTCAGGCTAGCATGGAATGTATTTGAATACTAAAATGGAAAAGAATTATACTAATCTTCTTTGCTTTCAGTTTGTATTTTGGAAACATGAACTAAAATCTTATTTCAGTTACAGTGTAGAAACAAATCCCTAATCTATGTAGATTCATGATAAGTAGACTAATACACATAATCAGAGATTTTTAGTGTACACGCTTCAGTGAAATTTGAAGTGATAATGGGTGTGGAATGAAAATTGACATTCATTAGATGTCCCTAGGTTGGTGCTTGTTTCATAATGTTGAACTTTATTAATAGTGACACTAATGAGGATCCACTTCCTAGGACAGAATTGCAGATCCAGCCTCTTGGATCTCAAGAACTGCAGTTTTAAAATACTCATTGCAGATGTTTTGATTTTTTTCCCTTCCGAACTGTTGAGTTTGCTGACAGCTCAAGTAAGAAGCGTAAAACAATTGTGAGTTTCTGTTAAAGTCTGTTTGTACACTGTCCAACAGAAAATGTCATCTGTCTTCCTTCTTCATCTCAATATAAATGCTGTTCTTAAATTCTAGTTCTATTCCACAAAATTCCCTACGTGTTAGCTTTTTTCAGGCGATCAGTTTATCCTAGCCTGGAAGAAATAGTTGTTTTTTAATGTCCTTCTTAAGCCTTGCTGAACTAGACAGAGTAGTTGCACTCATTTGAGTTTAACAGGCAACCTTCGCACTAAAGGTTCATTATGTACTTTTCCTTTGCACAGGACCGAGTAATGATCAACCGATTAGACAACATCTGTGAAGCAGTGCTGAAAGGGAAGTGGCCAGTAAATAGGCGCCAGATGTTTGATTTCCAGGGGCTCATACCTGGGTATACTCCAACAGCTGTGGACAGCCCTCTGCAAAAAAGGAGCTTTGCAGAGCTCTCCATGATTGGTCAAGCCAGTATCAGCGGCAGTGAAGACATCACTGCTTCTCCTCAGTTGTCAAAGGCAAGGCTGCATCCTTCTCATTCGTACAGAAAGCTTCTTATCTTTTGTCACTTATTTTTGCATAATATGAAAAAATAGCATTCCTTTGAATAAAATAGGAAAAATGAAAGACAGTGTTACCTTGAGTAAAGTAAAGGCTCTGTTTTCTGAGTTACGTGTTCATTCTATTGCAAAATCAGTGCAGTTAACAGAGCTGTGTTAATGTTTGGAAATCTTCGTGTTTCATTAGGAAGATGCACTCAATTTATCGGTTCCACGTCAGAGGAGGAGGAGGAGACGAAAAATTGAAATCGAGGCTGAGAGAGCTGCCAAAAGAAGAAATCTTATGGAAATGGTTGCCCAGTTACGTGAGTCTCAGGTGGTCTCAGAAAATGGACAAGAAAAGGTTGTGGATTTATCAAAGGCCTCACGAGAGGCAACAAGTTCTACCTCAAATTTTTCATCTGTTACTTCAAAGTTTATCTTGCCTAATGTCTCCACACCCGTGTCTGATGCCTTTAAAACTCAAATGGAGCTGCTGCAAGCAGGTCTTTCACGCACACCCACAAGGCATCTGCTAAATGGCTCTTTAATAGATGGAGAACCGCCCATGAAGAGGAGGAGAGGAAGGAGGAAAAATGTAGAAGGGCTTGATCTGTTATTTATGAGCAACAAACGGACATCATTGACTGTAGTAAGACAACAACCTTTTTGTCTCCTATTTGTTCTTCTGTGTCTAGTACTTTCTGAATGTGAGTTTATAGTGTTATACTCTAGCAAATAATAACGTACAGTTCTTACCCAGCCAGCTTTTGCTTTGTATTTAATTTTGAACAAAACAAAATGTTGCTTATATCAAGTTTTTACTATAGCAGATTGTGATTTTTTTTTAACTTGCTCATATTTTCAAAAAGACATTTTTTCCTTTGAAATATAGTATATTATAACATACATATTTTGAGGCTTAAGTTTACCTTCTCTCTTCTGTAGGAAGTGAAGGTCTTGGGGGTCATTAAGTGATAATGCATGAAAACTGCTCTGTCTGTTCTTTAATGTTCAAAGATTCTAAATTTACAAAATCCCCTAATGTGACTGCTTTACATAGTGGAAACATTTAAATCTTATTAACTGCTGACTTGAGCCTTTAACTTTAGTCCTTGAAGTGATTTCTCCCAGGTAACTGCTGCCTTAAAGTGAGAAGTAATGCTGGTGTTAATGTTTTCAGGAGGATGCAGAAGTGACCAAAGCTTTTGAAGAAGATTTGGAGGCCCTACCAGCAAGGAACATTCCGTCTCCTGGTCAACTGGATCCAGACACTCGCATCCCTGTAATCAATCTAGAGGATGGGACCAGGCTGGTGGGAGAAGATGCTCCCAAAAACAAGGACTTAGTTGAATGGCTTAAATTGCATCCTACTTACACTGTAGATATGCCCAGTTATGTACCAGTAAGTATTTGATTTTAAAAGTGTAGCTGTATTAGATTAGTATGGAAGTTAATCTTACAGATATGGAAATAAATTTCTTCAAATTGGGTGTAATCATTGGATTTCAGTGGAGGTTTTCATCTTAGCCACATTTACTGTAATATCTAAGCACTCAGGAGGCACCAGGATTTCTATGTATGTTCAGGAAAATATTTTTTTGAGGGTAAAGTAATTGATCCCTTCTTAAAATTTTTGATAGGAGAGGTGTCGTAATTCTTTACTTTTGTCAAGAGAATGAAAAGCTAAAAAACAACATATTTCTCTTCTTTCCAGAAGAGTGCAGATGTGCTGTTTTCCTCATTTCAGAAGCCGAAACAAAAACGACACAGATGTCGAAACCCTAATAAACTGGATATAAACACCTTGACAGGAGAAGAAAGGGTACCTGTTGTAAATAAGCGAAATGGGAAGAAGGTAAACACTAAGTTCAGTGGAATTGTTTGAATTGTTTAGTAATGTTTTTGCATGTTGAGAACAGGCTTTCTGTTCTGAACTTCTTTAAAAAGTTTAATTTGGCACTGACATTTCTTACTGTCACTCAGAATCTTTGATTTCTCCTTTACTAATTTACTAGCTCATTCTAGTCATTTAAGTTGAGCAACTCATATACATATAGCATATTTCTTTGCATCAGGTATGAATTTAATTACTAGCACTGCCTGGACTGTGACGTTTTGCTGTATTTTTTAAATGTGGTCTTTTCAATTCTGATATCATTAGGTAGTTTCAGTTCAGTTTTCCACTATATGAATTGAAATTCTTTACTTTCATCCTTTCTTAGATGAAAGTGCACAAATGGAAAATGTACAGATGAACAGTAGCAGTTCTGTGGTTTGGGTTGTTTGGTTGGTTGGTTTTTGTTTGTGTTTTTAAGTATTATCTTATCTTTTGCATTAGATGGGTGGAGCTATGGCCCCTCCAATGAAGGACTTGCCAAGATGGTTAGAAGAAAATCCTGAATTTGCTGTTGCTCCAGATTGGACTGACATTGTTAAACAGTCTGTAAGTGAAACTTTGATTCCATGCTTCGCTCTAGGTTACAGCACGGGAAAGTTGAAGGTTGTGTAAATTTCTGCAGGCAAGCACTGATGATTAAGTCCTTTTTCTCATAGCTAGTAGTTCTGAGCTGAGGAAATTGTAGTGTCAGGATGGGAGTTTGCCAGCTAAGGGGAAAGATGATAGAAGGCTTCTCTAGAGTGGGATTGCAGTATATGGAAAAATCAGGTATAGCAAAGTAACCTTCAGCATTAGTTATTTGTTTTTGTTGATTATTTTGTATTTTTTCCTCATGTAGTAAGCAGCAATTCTTAATACAGGTGTTTGTACATTAAGCAACTACTAAATTAGGTGTTTTTCACATGCATAGCAGAAAGAGTAATCACCTTGGTACTTTGTAGCATCAAAAAGCTAGCTTTGCTACCTTTTATTTGAAAACTGTTATTTGAAAATAGAGTGTACAGTTCTGCAAATACTTCTTAAAATGCCACTCCCTGTACTGGAGTTCACGGGGAAGTACAATGAGCTATGGTGTTTTAGCATGATTTGTTGTTCCACCCTGTTTAAATAGGCAGAACATGTGACTTTGTTTTCTTCAGTTTTCCTTATGTGTTCTAGTGTTGCTCACTTTAGTAGTTAGCTACTCATGATTTACCGGGTTTGAAAACCAAACTGCTTTTCGAATTAGAAAATAATGTGATAAAATCCTTCAATTTCTTCCATTTTAGCTAGTTAACTGCTGAAAGCTACAAAAACTAAGAGAGAATAAAACTCCTTTCTGCATCCCTTTCCCAGGGTTTTGTTCCAGAGTCTATGTTTGACCGTCTTCTCACTGGACCTGTTGTGAGGGAGGAAGGAGCAAGCAGAAGAGGAAGAAGGCCAAAAAGTGAAATTGCCAAAGCAGCTGCAGCAGCTGCTGCTGTAGCATCAACTTCGGGAATCAACCCACTACTAATGAACAGTCTGTTTGCTGGAATGGACCTCACCAGCCTCCAGAATCTACAGAACCTGCAGTCTCTCCAGCTCGCAGGCCTCATGGGCTTTCCGCCAGGGCTAGCAACAGCTGCTGCTGCTGGGGGGGATGCTAAAAATCCGGCTGCCATGTTGCCTCTGATGTTGCCAGGGATGGCAGGATTGCCCAATATGTTTGGACTAAGTGGATTGTTGAATAACCCAATAACGGCTACTACTGGAAATGCCACTACTGCTTCCGGTCAAGGAGAGACTGAGGATGGCGCTTCAAAAGCTGAAGAGAAGAAAAATGAGAATGAAGAGGAGAACAAAGACTCTGAGAAAAGCACAGACACTGTTTCTGCTACTGACTCTGCGAATGGATCTGTCAGTGCTGCTACTGCGGCGACTACCGCCACTGCCACCACTACCACCACCACCAACACTGGATTGCCCACAAACCCTCTGGCCTTCAATCCTTTCCTGCTGTCTACCATGGCTCCTGGCCTGTTCTATCCATCTATGTTTCTACCTCCGGGACTGGGAGGATTGACTCTGCCTGGTTTCCCAGCACTAGCAGGACTTCAGAATGCAGTGGGCTCCAACGAAGAGAAGGCTACTGACAAAACTGAAGGAACTGCCTTTAAAGATGAAGAAAACCTGGAAGGCAGTGATGCAGAGGAGAGCCTTGATAAAACTGCAGATTCCTCCGTTTTAGAAGATGAAATAGCACAGGGTGAAGAATTAGACTCACTTGATGGGGGGGAAGAAATAGAAAACAATGAAAATGATGAATAACCAGTACCAGTTACAGTTGAAGTGTTTTAAACTTTTGACAAGTGGTAGTCCTACTGTTTACACTCACAGTTAATGTCCATACTTAGTTTTTATAAGCTGTTCTGTAACATAGTGTAGCAAAAAAAAAAAAAGTTCAAGTCATGTTATACAGATGTGTCAAAAGGTATCTTGGTCATTAAGTATTGTGCAGTGCATTATTTATTATCCCTAGGAGAGATGAAATTTGAGAGGTGATCATGTCTTTTTAAGGAAATTGACATAATGCTCTGCTTTTTTCTTTTCTTTTGGTACCATTGGTATTATGAAAAGCAGCAATTTGTAATCAAGTGGCACTAATAGAAGGAAGTGCTGCTTAAAGGAAGGATGAAGTTATATATTTAATTTTTTATTTTTTATTTTGTTTTGCTGTGAAGGTCAAGATGAAATTTACCATACATATCGTACTTGCGCTTCATTTTGACTGTAGGGGAGTTCACCCGCTCACGTGCGCGCGCACACCCACACACACACACTCTCTCTCTGACAATCTTCATGATAGTGTGACTGTCTCTGTCTTGAGACGCAGCAATAATAAGGCAGCTGTTGAATGTGAAGAGTACCTTTTGGAAATTTACCCGCGGAGAAGGTTCTTACAGGATAAAGCTACAGTTTAATCGTCTCGTGATCTTGTAATGCACTGGTATAAACAAAAAAAGAAAAAAATCAGGTACCTTTTTTAAATTAAAGGACTTTGTTACTTTAGCCACAAAGCTAAACAGCATTACCTCAACTCTAAACTAGCCTTGAAGTTTACAGACATGACTTTGTAAATGTATTGTTTTTCTTTGTTGTGATGTCTTTTTATTTTTTTTTTTTTTCTTTGGAAACTGCTATCATGTAAGATAAGATGTAAATTGCTGCCAACTGTAGTAATGATGCTTTTAATAAAAGTGACCCATGATATGCAGAGATGTAATTATAAAATGTAGCGTTTAGGGACATCACAACTGGTGTTGATGTTTTATATTTGCATTGTGGCTTTTTGCAGCGTTTTCTGCTATACTCCCTAATAGATTAGTGGCTGTAAATGCTGAAATTATTGTCTGCACGGGACTAGGCAGGAAGAGAAACCCTGAATTACCTTCATATTTTCCACTCTAAGTAACTCTGCAGAAAAGCACACTAAAAAGCCTACTTTACTCCTTCAAAAGGGGCATGAGAGACTGAGAATACTTTAAAATGTGTTCAGCATGTGATAATATGGTACACTAAAGAACAAAAGGGCAAAAGAAAAATGAGGCTTTAATAGGCACAATATCTAGGTCATTTATCCTTGGTTAATGGGTAGAAAAACACAATGCTGTAGTGACAGCAAGGAATACAAAGGCTCTGTGGTATCCTGTAGACCAGAGCTTGTGATGCCAGAAACCACTGTGTCAAACAACCTACATGAAACTAAAACTGACCCACTTTTCATAAAAACCAGCGTCTCTTCTGGAGAGCTACCGATTTGTACCCTTTTGTGACCTTTGATATTGGAGATAATGTACCATTTGAGAACTTCTGTTTTCACATTGTTGTCACCTTGACACACACGTACACAACTGTCTCGGTAGTGAGGATAAAAGGTTAGGTCTGCAGTAGAGTACATGAAAAATTAGCTATTTGAGTAGCCAGCTGTGGGTGGACCCCTGTCTTATGATTAATTTTACCTGTGCTTTTGGAGAGCTGCAACCCTCTCACATCCCCTGTGAATTTGCACAAGAGCTCGAATTAAGGAGTACTGCAAGGCCAGAACGCAGCCGTGAGGAGGACGTGTTACAAGGGGTGAACTTGCCCTGAAAGGAGCGTTCAACAAACAACGAAAGTAGGTGAGAAATGAAAGCTTAGGAAGAGAATTTGGTGTGAATGAATCACAGACACGCACTGCTGAAATGAATAGGTGGCAGAATGTCTCGTGGTGCCACTTAAATAGATCACACGGAGTTAATGAAGGCCAGGAAGGATTTCCTCCCGCCGTGTCCGTCGCTGGACAGTTGACGAGGTGTGTTATTCCTGCCTCTCTCTAAAACACTGCACGTAGGCCATGACAACAAGTGAGAGGCTGAAGGCCGAGGTATATTAACTTGATCTGGTGTGTTGAATCCATTCTATCTGTTATTTAAGTTGTTCAAATGACTGGTGTCTTATTTTGTCTTCTGTCTCTAGAACTTCCCCTGTAAATGTGGCTAGGTGCTTCCTGTTGTGTGTATTTCACATACTGATATAAAATAGCCCTTTTCTAAATTCAGTTTTATAATTCCCAGCAAAGATTTAAACAGACTAATGATATCCCTTGGGAGGCTCCTTTTTAATTGGCAAGAATAGAAATTATATTGTTAAATGCCACGCAAACCCTTTTCATTCTCCTAACCCTCTTCCTCCGTCAAAATGAAGGGGAAATTCAGGTAACTGCCTACTTCTGCCTGCAGGTTTTTGGCACTGAAACATCCAAGTTGTGACATGGGGTGTCCGAAGGGCATAGTAAGCGAATGTTACCCCTATTTGAAGCATTCCTCAAAGCAGTTATTACTCATCTGTGTTTCCCGTTCAAAGCAAAACTGAAACTGGAGAACTGCTATAGCAGCTGTGATGGTGGGGAGTCTCCGGGCTTCTCCGCTTGCTTTCCAGCTGCTTTGCTTCCTCCAGGTTCAGCAGACTGCTCACCTGTTGGAAAGAAGGCAGCGTTTTGATTTTGGAAGGGGTGGGTATGGGCCCCTGGTATGAAAAATGAAGTGGGGGGGATTGCCATCTAATGTCCAAGAAATGTATTACATGAAAATATGAAGGTTTTTCTTTGATCTGACAGAGTTTTTAATATGTTAATTATTGCAGTGATTCTCACAAAGTTTTAAAGTGTGTCTAAATGAATAAAAGCTTACGTGCGTTAAGATGATTAGAACATGCTATTCTCAACTTGATTCACAGCCAGAGCACCTCCCTGCCTATCTCAATTGGAAGCCTTCTGCCAGTACCCGTGTTTTGCTGGACCCCTCCCTTATGGTCACAGAATTGCTAATGGGGAATGTCAAGGAGTACAAGTGACTTTGGAGGAGCGTGTATCTGTGTCAAAGTATAGAATGATCTGCATGCTGACGCAGCCTTTCCTGGGTACGTGGCTTGCAGCCCTGCCAAGAGAAACAGCAAAACAACAACAAATCTGCTCAGGCTTCTAAGGACATATTTTCCAAGAATTTGCAAGAGAGATCTTATGATACTATTTATAAACCTAGGCTGTTGAGGAGAACTGGTTGAAAACTCACTGATGATGCAGCAGACAAGTTCCCATATCAGTCCAAAGTATTTTCTGTTGGCTTTGGTCTCTTGTTTCATGTCAGTGTCAAAAACTGTGCCGTGTACAAGTGTATCACTGATTGGAACAGCACGTAGTTTTCTTCTGTCGAGGACCTTTCCAATTCAGTGCAGCAAAATAAGCACTCTTTCATTTGAGAGACAAGAGTTTGGGGGATGGGGAGAGGTAATCAATTGCATTTCCAGTGCTGAGCTTCCCATTGAATTTCATCTTGCCTACCAAACTGCTTGTATGTGCAGAGCTCCAGCTGCCCCACGTCGCACACTTCAGCTCTCAGGGCTGGTGCTCTCTCAGAGCCCTCTCTGAGAGGGCTGGAGCCCTCTCAGGGCTCTCAGGGTGTCAGGGCTGGTTCTGGCAGCAGCAGGAAGCACCCAGGGCTCTGAGCCCTGGAATACCCATGCTGGGAGCTGCAGCCCTGTCACCACTTCTGGCTGCATTGGATGGGGGGGGAGTGCTGGCTCTGGCTGGAAGCAATGCCTTCAAGAGGCCTTGAAATGTGGCATTTTGGGCAGGTATTCTAATCACCAGCTTGAGTGAGCTGCTCTGATTAAAATTCCCAAAGGATGTGGATTGTTACAGATTGGCAGTTGCTGTGAGCGAGGTTTGATGAGTGTTTTGGAAGCAATCGAAACATTTCCAAATGGGAAGTAAATGTCCAGTGCTCTCTGAGTGCAGCTTCGTTAATTTGACGATGATTTGATGCAAACCAGCAAATATTTAGCATAACATAACATACTACAAAAAAATATTTTTCTAAAAGGGGATAAGTCCATATCAATAAATAGTTTAGGTTTTTCACCTTGCATAAAATTGCAGTCAACATTAGTAAAACTGTCAGATCTTAATCACTGGAGCCATTTGTGTTGCAGTAGCTTAACGTTTGTAGCTTGCAGTCTGTTATTCGTAGTCAGTCTTTGCTCAGAATTTAGACACCAGTGATAGTCACGAGTCAGAGACCTCATTAAAATCCTGGTAACTGCAGCCCACTTTAAAACACAAACCACCCATTTAGGAACCTTGCTTAGAGCATGGAGATGTAAGAGCAGATCGGGGCATCTCGCTGTGTAAGTTACATTTATGTTGTTTTGTTTATCGTTCCCACTTTTTCTATGTGAGTCTATTGGCCCAACCAGTGTACAGACTTCAAGCTTTGGCTTTGTTGGTTTTTTGGGCAGTCTCATTTGTAAGCTGAATGGCAGCAGGCCATGAGGTTAACCCCTCTAGTGCTGGAGGCAATGCACGCTGTGGGTGAGGAGTGGCCGGCTCTGCTCACAGTGCTTCTGCAGCTCTTCCCCTCTGCGATGCTTTGCCCTTCGGCTGGAGGTGCCCAGTAGGGCACTGAGGGATCTCTGCACCATTGGCCCCCTCCCATGGGCTCTGGCTGCTGTGGGCCTGAGCAGGATTTGCATTTTGATGGTGCTCCCTCAGCTCAGAGGCCCTTGCAAGGAAACTGGGATCCTTCGTTTTCCCTTTTTCTTCCCCCTTTCCCCCCCCAACCCCCCAACCTTTTTTTTTTTTTTCTAAAGGCTAGTGGAAAATAAGAGACATCCATTGTATCTCACTGCGGAGGCATTGTTCTGTACCAGACAAAGATGGCATATTTCTGCCATCCATAGTTTCTGCTCCTTCAGCCATGGCTGGCTACTGATGAGCAGCTGTGCAGGCTCTGAATAGCCCCAGGCATTTCCTAAAACCATTAGAATTATGAATTTTCCCCAAATGTGTGCCAAACCCCTCCCAAAAATATGTAGCAGAAGGAGGGAAGCAAAGCCTTTGCTCTTTGTCCAGAACTTGTTTTCTAAATTCAAACTTTCAAGGCAAGTGCAGTCTCATAAAGAGCATGTAACAAGTTCTGCCAAACGTACCAGCTGATTCCAAACTGACCTGCGCAAACACTGCTCAGAAGGATATTTTGAAAGAAGTGTTTTTATTTTCTCTTTAAGTATTTTTGTAATGGAAAGAATGAAGGGTTTAAATTGAGCTACGTAATTCTGTTTTACGCGCTGGGCAGGTGCTTGTGATGAATAGTCAGAACTGAAGAAAATGCTAAAAATCAGTCCTGCTCCTCATCTGCCACGCATCTGACACTTGTGAGGTATGGTGGGGGCTGTCAGCACAAGGACGTGCTTTTCCTCCCAGCCTTCTTCAAGTTCTCCTCGGCCAGACTGGCCATCTTCTGCTGTCTCAGTCTGCAGCAGGCTTGCCATCTGCTATATGGCTAATCAATTCACAAAGGTGCTGCTGGGCAGTGCAGGCTCCCCGTCCTCTGCCAATATTTTCTGGAAGTTGTCAAACATAGCTGAATTTGTTCTCAGCTGTCACAATCCTCGCATTGATTCCAGCTTGTAGCACTCCGGTGACCAGTGGGGTATGCGCTTTGTTTTGCAAGCAATGCTTGCTCTTTTGTGCCCGCTTTGTGAGGCTGCAGAGCTTCCCAAAGCCTGGGCGAGCGTGCCTCGAGAGCTCCCAGTTCCTCGGGTGCAAGTGCTGGGTGCCACCCCCCTGCCCCTGGGTAACACCAGGCACTGGATTTGGTCATCGTTGCTGCTTCTCAGTGCTCCTTTGATCATGCCTGGGTCAGACACGAAGGCTCTGCACCCAATTCAGGTGCCCGAAGCTCAGGTGGTGGTGTGGAATGGAGTGGCAGGATTTATTTCATTTATTTATCATTTCTTTTAATGAAGGATCTTCCCTCCAGCCTTCCAAGCACCAGTTGCTACCAAGAAGCACCTTCTGTCATTGGCTCCGTACAACAGCGCTAAAAAGGAGCATTCGGAAGAAGAAAAAAGGCATCTGCTGGCTTTAAACCACTCCGTGTTTCACTTGAGTGAGCTTTGCCATTGCTCTGTTAGCTTTCCTTGCCACATGAAGAGCTGCCGTCATTTCTTACCTATATTTATATTTAACCCAGAGAGTAAAAGCAATTTTCGGGAAGCCGCAAGAGGCAGACACCAAAACATTTTTCCACCTTTTCTCAGCGCACACTGCTAAATACTGCGTGCTTGTCAGCTCCTCCTGGCATCCTTTCCCCAGAACAGCCTCCAGTATGAATTTGGATCAGCTCCTCTGCTGGGGCGAACGGGGATCACGCTGTGCAGTGACAGCATCTGAGTACGTGTGGCATTTGACTGCAGCTATTTCCTAGCTACGTGTTTTCTTACCTGGCTTGGGATAGAAATTGGGAAACTGTTTCCACCAGCAGCTTTGGTTGTACACAGGCTGGAAGATGAATGGGTTCTCTTGCACACCGTTCAATAAAGTCTTCCTAAAGCAGTTTCAAGCTGGCGTGCCAAGAGGATCTTAACTAAATTGGAACAAATTGTGTGTCTCTGCTACGTGCTTCAGTTATTCCTCATGGAGGGGTCATGTAGATCCCTCTTTAGTGTCCGTGGTGACCCGAGCAACGTTTGAGTGCAGTGATCCCCTGGTTTTCTTGCTCAGCCTTTGCTATTTGCACTACAGAAACAATCTGAAAGCTACAGTGGAGCAATTTCTTTTTCTTTATGTTTATCTTCGCTCTTCCTGATAGGTGACATAGAATATGCTGTGAGCAAGCAAAAGAAAATTAAATCTCCACTGATCTCACTGACCAATGACCAATGAGCAATAGGGTTGCGTGCAGAAGTCATTGTGTCTGCTGCTTGCAGCAAACAAAAGTCACCACGGGAGAAATCAGAACCAGATTTGCACAGGAATCCCACGATGTACCACCCTCATTCCAGGTGGCCACGTTGCCCTTCTGGCACAGGGCTGATGCAAAAAGGCACGGTGGAACCCTGCTTGCATCGGTGCATTTTGCGTGCTGCATTGGTGCCTGGGGGCCTGCAGCAGCTGTGGGAAAATCTTCCCTGGCTGATTCTGTAATCTGGAGGGTGCTGCGTGTGCTGGTACAAAGCTCTCCCTGTCCCACCACAGGCATAACTCATGTCTTCTGACAGAGGAGGGTGGGAAGGGAGCCAAGGTGACAAAAGCCTTCTGTAGCCAATAGGGAAATAATGGTTTCATGGTGTGAACTGGTAGCAACATGCAGAGCCTCTCCCTCGTGATTCCCATCACCTGCTATCAGCCACTCAGACTGGCACACAGGCAGCCAGAGCATCACTGCCAGGTGTGGGTAGGGTGGGAACTTGTCACCTTCTGGTGCTCAGTGGACAGGTGCTGGTTTGCTTTAAATCAGAGCATGTGCCCAGCTGGCCCAGGCTGCATGCATGCGTTTGGCTGTTGGGAAGGTGAGGATTCTGTCCTGAAGATCAAAATGTTTCCAGGTGACCTCCAGCCTCCCACATTCCTAAAGGTTCTGTCCTGACATTTTTACTCCAATTGCTTGTGCAAGCTCATTTTCATGGTCTCATTTACATCCTGTTTGCTGGTATGTTTACTCCCCTTGCTTTTGTTACTGGTTTACAGTCACACCATTTCTTTGTTTGCTTGCACTCATCTCATGTGACTGCAGTTATCTTCCCCACAGCTAAAGTGCTGAAGGCAGTTGCTGAAATCCTGGCAGCGACGGATGCAACACCAAGTGTTGTGGTGAGATCTCCAGCTGGGAACAATCCTTAACCCATCTGATATTCCGCAAGTGG